CATCTGATAATAATGATCAATCGCCAGGGTTTACTTACGTGACTATGGAGCTTGCCTTGTCCTTCTCACTGCAGACTTGATATGCAAAGTATCTAGTCAAGTCAAACGCATCTAGAAGATTCTCAGCCAAGTTAGGAACCTTACAGCTGTACACAGCAGCTAGAATATAACCTTCGTTCTGGAGGAAATCCAAACATGAATGAGTCTCCGGATAGATCCTAAGATTTCCAAGATCTGAACTTTTTATTTCACTGTAAATGAAAAGTATTGCTTACACCAGATTGGTACTTGGGTGTTAAATACTGTAATGCAAACAGTAGATTAATTACCTATACCTAATACCTAAATAATCCCTAATAATATACACAGATATTTGAGATAAGAGGATTCCAGTCAATCGTCCTGATTGTGGAAACAGCTGGGCCAAAGATGCAAAGAAGGCAAGAACTGGATGGATGAAATAGGCCGCATGATTGAAAAAACAGGTCACTTTAAAGTAAGAAGCTACCTAGTCCAACGGATTGCCATGGCCATTCAAAAAGGAAATGTCGCCAGCATCATTGGATCGTCAGCCACAGATACCTTTCATCAATTATTTATAAAATTATTGTAAAAATTTGTATATTATTTTTAAATTACTATTAACGATTATGTTTCATAAAAAAAATTTCCTAATAATATTATCTGTATTACAATATTACTCTATGGTCTGTACTGCATTGTGTCCTATAATAATTTATCAACATAATAGTTTGATTTTAGAACATGTCAAGTATTAGCTTTCACTTCAGTCGTTATTATTAATTTGCACTCTCTTATAGTGAGTAAAAATTTGGCTGTTACTTTTCTAACCAATATATCAGTTTGTAAAGCTCAAAATCAGACAAATTACCTTTTCATGACAAAAATGCATCATTCACATTAAATTTTTAAATACCTAATTTATTTGGTGTATGACTTAAGATTTGAATAATTACCTCAACTTTGCTAGTGACTCGTTTAAATGATCCACCCTAAAAGGCCATATGGTTTTATCTGGAACATTTTGAATTCTTGTTAATAATTGATATGTTTATGATATCAAACCAAAAGAAACTATCTTTTAAAGTTTACCTACACAACTGTTTATATCCTACTATATTTTTTTGATTCACACAGAGGTTAGACTAAGAACAACTAAATATAATCCGCTAAAGTGGAGTATGGATGAGAAGCGCAGTTAGTAGTTAGATGGAAATTTGCTTGCTTACTTAACACAGGGCCGGACTTACCTATGGGCGAAGGGGGCGAACGCCCGGGGCCCCGGGCCAAGGGGGGCCCCGGCAGGGCCCCCTTTGTACATTAGTTTTTATCATTAACTTCGAAAATTGATCAGACACGGTCGGCCAAAGTTTCTGTGCGCGCGACCAGATCTGGTTGAGTCTAGGCGAGGGGGTTGGCGGGGGTACTTTTGTGAAAACATTTGTGTCCTGCTACTCACTCACCACTACCACCACTACCCCTAGCACTGCCAATAGCCGGTGCCCGTATATTTTAGTTCGGCTAGTAGCGACCCGTTCACGCGCACAGAAGTTTTGGCCGAGCTTGTACGGCCGCGGCGAATGAGTTGAAGGGGGTCCCGCGCTTGGGACAAAATACAATAAATATGAAAACTCTTGTCCCAACGTAGAACGTAACTTGTAAAATTGTGTTGTGTTAAATGGAGATTCACTGGAGTTCAAATACTTTTAAAAATAAAAACATTGCTCCGTTTATGTTGTATTAAATGTTATTCTTTTATTTTACCTCTAAGTATATACCAATCAGGATTTCATGGGGTAGAAGTATATTATCCGTTCAATTGAAAGGTTTTGTAAAATAGTAATTAATTAAGTTATGCGTCCAAATTTTGATCTCCAATTTAGTCTTTGGAGTCAAAATCATATAGCACCAGTAAGATTTTTTAAATCTATATAGACACTTTAAAACAACTAGAGTCGTCTGATGTTAACAAAAAATTACATTGGGATTGGGCGAGCGTTGTCGTATGAAATCGTAAATAAGCGAATAAGCAGAAGCAGCTGCAACAATAAATGATAATGAGCTGATAAGGGATCCTGTCTAGTCCTGTCTGTCTCACGCACGCGCATACACACACATAAAATGCCTTATCGCCTATCCAAAACAATTTAAATCACTTTACTCCCATAGTTTGTCCTCTGAGACTAGTGGTCACGTCAAGTTGGTTGAAATTGTCTTACTTTTGTGTTATTTTGTTGTAATTCTGCAAACTAACAGTACAAAAACAAAGCTGAAGTGAGTAATGTTGTATTTAATGCTATGTTTGTGTTGTATTAATCGATATTGGATCCATTTAAACATCTTACAGTTACTCATATAAATAGTTAGTTTGTGAGTGTTTATTAGACATTGCAAGATTTTGCTCGTCAATAAAAAACTCAAACTTGAAAGTCCTCAATGGTACTTTTCATGCTAGGACTTCAACATATTATAAAAACGAGAATGCCATAGGTACCAAAACCATAGAAATCGACGGCAAATCGATATTTTAAATACGTAATAAACAAAAATATATCAATACTTCTAATCCAAATATATTATGGTAGCCTACCATGATACCATACCAAATATGCCGTCACTGGTACTACAAAGCAATACATTTTTATTTTTGTGTATAAAATAAAAATATGCTGTATATACAAATATGTTAAAATAGGTAGTTATATTTTAAGAACAATTTTTTATATAGAACTTATTGCTTAATTGGCCTTAAATTGCTCTATTTGAAGCCTAAATTTAGAAATTTTTCCCGGGGGAGGACCCCCCAATCCCACTGGAGGACCCCCCGCCCCCCGAACTGAAATCCTAGGGCCCCATTGGAAAATTTGCCCGGGGCCCTTGAAGTCCTAAGTCCGGCCCTGACTTAACATAAAAATAGGATTGGGGTTTACACAATGGCATAAGAAAATGTAGCGGGACCCCCTACAAAACTTGCTACTGGATCACCATTATTTAAGTTCATTATTATTGAAAAACAATTAGATCAACTTTATGTTCAAAGAGCGTTTCTTCAAAACAAAAGCTCAAGATATTTTATTACAATATATCTATACAGATGTCTCAAAAGGGTTTGTGTGCCAATAGACATCCATCGGTTCTAAATACCTGCCTCCCCCTTCCCTGTCTCAAAAAGAGGTCTAGGGGGTTGAAATTTTTACCACAGTGGTTAAAAACAACTGAGTTTAAAGACTAATACTACTCCTTAAGTTTATTATTTAAGCTAATCAACCACATATTAACTTACCACTCTAGCATAACTTAAAGCTTCATTTTGTCACTTTGTTTGTCGAAAAGATTGCCAGGATTTCACATACAGTATGTAAAACAAAAAAATTAATGGATTTGGTGAATTAAGTTGATAAAACTCTAACTGAACATTATTTCTTTCTACAACAATTACTTAAATAAACGTACCTATTATAGACTAACATATATATTTTTTTACATCTACTCACCCAAAACAAATATTACCATGTTGTGATCCTTGTGCACAGTATCAATTCCCTTGAACGTATACATGTTTCTAACATTTTTGGTTTCTGTTCTTCCACTGAGCCATAACACAACCATACAAACACAAACCAAAATGTTGTTTACCAAAATATTTACTAGGTATTTTTTTGACTGCGGGAAAATCATTGTGATGGATTACGACAAAGGGTGCTTAGCTAATGGTTAAATCTTAAATCACCATAAACTGTCACTTAAACAGTGTATACTGTGTATAAAAGGTTCACATTATTTTTCTGTCATATCTTCTTAGTCCATCATCGGCTCGCAGATTTATTTCCTAACACATTATGCTTGTGTGATTAAACATATTTAAATAAACTGGTTCTACTGTTCCACATTCACATTGTACTGCTTACTGATATACTAATGAGAACAAAGCATATAAAAGTAAATTTTGAATTCAATTTTAAGAGTTTGTCATAGATAGTAGTTGTTATAAATCAAATCAAAATCTAAATACTATTCTTAAACAAAATGTTGATTTGAAATAGATTGAATACAGTGTACCTTCAGTTGTAGAGGGCCCATTCAGTCATAGGGAGCGGACAGGAATCAAGGAATGGCCGTATGGATCATGTCAATTAAATTTAATGATATTTAAATAGAGGATAAATCTGACATGTTTAAGGATATATTTGAGTGAAAATCCAATCAGGCAAATAGAAATTTGCTTAGTCTGCAGGGTTTTACAGTCATATTAATAGGTAATTGCCATTGGACCAATCTAATATCATTGGCACTTTTTAGTTTGACTCTCGGTGTTGTTGAGAAACCTTTCCTCGTCCTTCCCACACGCCAATCCTGATTGGAACAATATCTCACCACTTCAGTAATTACAGTGTAACTACCTCATAGACTGCTACATTATGTTCCAACAATTGCTCAGGTAGGAAATGATTTACAAAAGAAGAAAAGAATTTAATATTATAAAGAATATCACTTAATTTAAAAAATAAGCTAATGTATAATTACTATTAGGACGAGACAGAATTCTCATAACCAGGAAAAATCATGCAACTGTACAATAATTCGGAGAGATAAAAGAGGAAAACACCAGATATGCTATATTTAGTTACAGTAAACTAAGTGGCGTTTAGGAATCAGAACACCATTAAACTAGCTACTGCATCCATTAGGTTTGTACATGTGATCATTGTTAAACCTTATAAACCACGTGTCTGCATAGAGAAATATAACAAACCAAAAAGATTAAATTAATGTTGCACAACATTGTTTTCAAAATGCCCACTTGCCAAGGATAAAGGAGGAAATAATATTTATATATGGATTAACTTATGATTTCCAGGTTCTGGCACCCATGAGCGAACTATAGGAAAAAATTTGAAAATAAGAAAGATTCTTTTACATTTTTTTCCACACAAGTGATTTACGATGAATTGTAATGTTTCCAAATGTTCTGTAATAACTCAATGTTGTAATACATTTATTTATTTATGACAGTATTTACAATATTTTATCACAGCTAAATAGCAAAAAACCTTGTTAATGCTTAGGCATAAAACACACATCCTATGTGTAAGATTTGTCATGTTTCTTTAACGCTCGCCTCTCTAGTTTTTCCTTCTTCCTCCTGAGTTTTCTTTGTACTTTTGATTCTGTAGTTGTCGGCAGCTTATCATCACTTATTTCAGCATAAATTTTTCTTGTTTGAAATACATATAACGCATCACACATAAGCTCATAGCTGACTCCTTTTAAGCCAATAGGAAGGGTGAATACTCCTTCATCCAACATAAAATGAATGTCTTCTCTATCGTATTTGCACAAAATAAACATGATATTTTTTGTTTTAATTCCTGAATTTTCTTGAATCCTAGAACGTAAACATGTAGGTGATTTGTATGAAAACGTTGCTTTTTAAAAACAACTTTTGTAAACACAGTAGTTACCAGTAAGACTATATATATTGTTGAAGTTTTCAAAGGAGATATTTGTAATGGTCACGAGTAGTCAATCTTCGTTGCATTGTAGTCCCACCCTTCTATTTCAGTTCCGTCTTTTTCGTAAGCTGGACGACATTTGTTTTTGTTAGTTTTCTCAACCACTTCAACTTTCTGAGGTCCATGTTTGGCTTCTTTCCTTGGTCTAATGTTATACACTACAAGACCTTTCCTTGCAGTTTCTTTGTTCAACCCGTCTTTTAGACAATAAATTATTACATGTTTCCAAATCATATCCATACAATTCTCTGGTCCACAGTCTTTTTCAAAATACAACACATCCTCTAGTGGAATCTCACTTCTCTTACATATCCTAAAAATAAGAAATAATAAACTTACTGCTGTAAGACACAGGTTTTGATGATAAACATTCAGTTTGACCCAAGAAAGTACTTTCACTAATTGTTTTAACTGAATTCTAAAACCTAAAATTTGACATACATTTAAGAGTTGGCAGAAGTCAATAATTTTGCATTGTTGTTGACCGTCAGATGGCTAAACAGTGGTTGTCCTAACGCTGATCAGCAAAAACATGTGTTCACGTTAAAGCATATTAATCATGCAGCGTAAACTTGACTACCGAGCAGAAAATTTTATGTGATTCTTAAATATGACACATTTAAAACTTTTTTGCTGTATAACTTGGAGGAACTGAGGTCTTCTTAAAAACTGCAATAATAACTCTGACTATTTTATAACTTACTCTGTTTGCAGACTTTGGACGATCTTGGATCTTACTTTTTTTAATTAGTGACAGAAAATGATGGAACATTCTATAGTAATAGGGTCAGACAGTTAATTACAATTGCTCAAACCATTTTATGACTTACTCTGTTACTAGACTAAAATCAAATAATGCTGGAACTTACTAATCACCATGTTCAGACCATTTTGTACTTACTCTGTTGCCAGACTCATATGGAGGAACTTACTCTGTTATCAAACTCATCTTGTCCGGTCCCTCTGCCATCTCCATGTACTTGAAGTGTTGGGTGAGGTCCAGTGCATTCATCAGAGCCATCACCTTGTCAGTGCTGTTGCTCAAAGCTACGGCTGCCAACACATAACCCTTCTCTATCAACTCTAGCAAGGTCTCTTGAACCTCAGGGTATGCCTCTATCTTGTGGCCATTAACAATCGCCGTATTATTCTCTCCGCTGTAAATCAGGAAAAGGGTAGTGAATATTCTTAGTTTTAAAATAGCTGAGAAAGATGTACAAAGCAGATTTTAATTTTTCAGCAGGAACATAACTGTTTAAGTGGTTAGAGGCTTTCTGTTTTGGAGGCTTGTTTTCCAATACCGCTAACCATGAGTTTTTGTTTTCTGTGTGATGGAACCTGTCTCCTGATCCTTTATCACAGATATCAAACCGCAGACCGGTATAATAGTTGTGTAGTCACTAACTACAAAGTATCGATTACTTTAGCACTGGTTAATAAAAGTTATATTTTGGGCAAAAAAAATTGTTTTAAATTAGACAAATCATCATGTTGCACATTAATTTCGGTACTTCAGTATTAAACGGAGGCCACATTTTGTCAGCGCGCTGCGGCGGTTATGTTAGGTTGGGTTATCATAATAGAAAGTATCGTTCGATTCATAACGAAGCGAGGAAAGTCCTACACACATAATATTTACGATAACCCAACCTAACATAACCGCCGCAGCGCGCTGACAAAATGTGGCCTCCGTTTAATACTGAAGTACCTTAATTTCTCACCTGCCATAATACAAACTATGCTATACACCTTACCTTTTTATTGTAAAAGGGTCATTGAATCTTGGATCCTTATCTACCTTAAATGGCCAAAGTGTATCATCTATAACATAAATAATATTGCAGTTATAGCTAAAGTGTATTTTAACTTGGGCTGTTTAATCATAATCATATTCTAAAATAGCAGAGTACCCGTCCTTCGTAGGAGGTTGGCATATGAGTATAAAATGCTTATTGCAGTTATGGGAGAGGACACGGTTTAAGAAAATTTGGTTCTTTTAATTTATACGGTATGCTATAGTATAGCACATCTACCATAGCTATAATGTTCTACCACTGTACTTAAACCATAGAAAAAAGTTCTCATTGTATTCCACAGATTTTTGTTACTAGTTGGTTCAAATTAGCTGTTGTCATAAATGCAAAAAATGATAGTGCTGCACCCTGTTGGTAAACTTTGTATGCTATTTAATATCATCATAGACAAAAAGAATTAAATACAGACTGTCAGCCGTGCTGCGGTTACCACGGTTACCATAGGTTCTGACAAACACCGACACCGCTTGGAGCGACGTGTAGTTACGTAGTGTGTACACCGTAAGTACATGGCGCTCCCAGCGGTGTGCGCCAGAACCTATAGTAACCGCAGCACAGCTGACGGTCTATATTTAATTCTTTTTGTCTGTGATATCATAGAACCATAGACTAAGCAACACAAGTAGACTCCTCATCCCATTGTAAATTTTGAAGCTTGTTTTTTGTGTCTAGCTCATGTACGTCCACACTAATTGCAGACGTAGACAAAATTTTATTTTCTATTATTACTTTAGGGTTATTTTAATGATTTGTGCTTTCCTATTTGGTTATATAACTAGGAGACCAGTATGATATTGTTTATGTAGATATTGTTTATGATTATATCGTTTTATTTGGTTAAATGAGGTTTTAAATTACTGAAATAACAAGATAAACTAATTGTAAACAAAACACAACCTCTTCAGTTGGACGTACAGAGCTAACAATAAAATTGGCTTCAGCTGTTCCATAAGGATGAGAAATATACTAAGGGAGTATGTTTTATCTATGATAGAACCAACTTGTGCAGTTGAAACAGCCGACAAAACCCTTTAATTCCTTTTAAATATGAATACTCATAAGGTTAACATGGGAAACTCCAAAGCCACTGGGGCGGAGCCCAAAAGGATTTTTGAGATAAGAATATATGTCTATATGTTAACCGGGAATGTGAGCTATCATCATACCAAATTTCAACCCTGTTGTTTTAGTATTTTTTGCGTTTACTTGTCACAAACATCCATCCATCCATACATCCAAACTTTCTCCCTTATAATATTAGTAGGCCTTGAAGGGGGAAGTATTCAATACTTTAACGTCTTCTATAATTAAATAAATGTTGATAAAACTTGAGACGATTTATTAAAAGTATGACCAGACCTAAACCCTGATTATTCGAAGTATTAAATATTTAAAAGATTAAAATTAAGACTATCGTAAATTGTTCAATAATTGGCACCGTACTCAGCTCATGGTAAAGGAGGTTTCAACTTTAAAACTCAAACTCTGAAATCTAATCTATAAAGATAAAATGTGTAATAAATTGTAATTTTGAGGTCTGACAAAAAAACATCACACCAGCCATAAGTGTCTTTTTGACCCTCGCTCATTTTCCAACCTCAGCTTCGCTTAAGTTACTAAACTTAAACTTGTCTGTAAAAATCAGTCACGTTAGATTCTAGTGAAGAAATATACTATTTCTATACTAAACATACTCACCGACATCAAAGATGATGAGCTCCTTTCCTGGATGTTCACTGTACGGTATTGTTTTATTTGTTGACTGTTTACGGAAGATACCTTTATGTTTTTTTGGCCCAGACATTTCTTCAACTGTTTCTGACTTTACAGAAACTAAAAGTCTACTTAAACACAAGATTAACATTATGTAAAGTGTTTTTATTTCAAAAATATGCTCCATTTTATACTACAAAATTCACACAATTTATACCTGTACAACTACCTGTATATTGTCAAAATGTAGAAACTCATTCCCTCCTAAAATAAAAAAAATATTTTCTATCTAATCACCCATTTTTTTTAACTTACACTTGAATTTCATTGAGCAGCCAATTTAAATAAGTTGGCTTCAGTTAATTTCTATAATGTTCACTATCTTATCTCGTATCAATGCCTACAAACTATTTTGAATTAAAATGTTCTATTTTTGGATCAAGCCGTAAAGTGTATAATAATTAATTATTTTGAAGTATACTTCAAGTAATTATTTCAACAAACTACTTACGTCCTTGACTTTGATTTGTGTAAATTATGAAAAGGTAAATAACTTAGATGGTTATATAGTGGTTTAACAACACTTCAACTTCAACAGTTATGTCAGATATTATATTCTCTATTAGCAGTCTTGGGGAAGCTGCTTTAAAATGTAGTTAGCCACAACTATACAGCCACAATGACATGTAGCTATCACTACAATTTTAGCTACTTTTCAATTTTTTTTTAAATTGTTAAGATTACTACCATTGTCCATTGGTACTACTCTCGTAAGATATTTTGTGTTTTACAACATGTTTTGAACACAATGCAATTGCTTCAGAATAAATCAGAACATAAATAATAATAAACAAAATATACGACAGTTTTCTGATTTTTTTTACTTTTATTTCAGTTATTAACATTGGTCAGCAATACAATGTTACACCACACAACTGGGTCACACCCCTTGGGTTTGTTTGAAGAAGAAAGTTTACACAAAAAACCAGAACTTAATTCTGGAGATGAAGGATGAGATTCAAAGAGATATCCATCAAATATCGCATTAATTGAACAAGAAAGTGATAGAAACTTTTCTCAAAAGTTCTCAGTTCTATAGTGCTACACGTGGTGGTCATTTCACAGGTATAATTAACTTTCAATGACAGTTTGTACCAAATTTGTCTAAATAATAACGTACCAAGTGAATAAACTGCAATGTATTATTTAATTTTAAATTGTAGCCTGTAAATGAGTCACCCTATAGAGAGAGTCAAGGTATTCATTATAAATGAGCTTAAACAAAGAATTGAATTGAATTTTAAAATTCTTTATTGCTCACTAGTTTAAATCATATCACTAGTTTTCCTCCAGAGTATTTAATTTATGTTATTTAATCTTTTGTAGTGATTACATAAAACACTAGATGACTCTAGACCATGTGGATGGCAACAGTTGATGTAGTTATTTTCTTAGTGAACAGCTGATTGTAGTGACCCTCAGCATAGGATAACAGCAGTTTTTGATGTTAATTATCCGCCCGTCAGCTGTTTACAGGCATATCTGGAGGAGACATGGTGAACATCTCAATACCTCTGTAGGGTCTAGAGACATTATGAGTCACTAAGTACTCGTGCAGACCATGTTGCATGATATCATATGTCAAGCCGAGCTTGGGAGAAACTCTGATTACAGTAATATCCAGTGACTTCACCTCATCCAGCTGATATTCATCTGAGTCAAAATATAGTATTTCATTTAGGTCCACTTGAAGTCGTTCACTCATTCTGCAAATCATAAGTATATTGACGGTTTAAAATATTGTTGGTGTTATATTTCCTGTTAAAAGTTTTCACAAAACTTAAATTTGTAAATTAAAGCTTCATCTTAAATTTAAACTTACTGTAATATAATATTTCTCTACTCCAGTGGTTGCTAAATTGTAACAATCAGTAATATTTGTTCAATAATATTAATTTCCCCCCTGATTTATTCGGATTTAATCACCATAAAATTGTTCTAGTTGTCAAACATGTTAGATATAAGATTCAAACAGAAGACCAAGGGATTTAACTGTAACTACGACAAACATTGACATAGTAAATAAGAAATCAGCTTTATAGGATAAAAATGGTATTGATCTGAACAAAATAAGGATTTGCCTATATTTTTAATCAATATATAGGGTGATTACCGAGAAACGCATGTTTTTCAAATAACTAGTATTCAGGCAATTCAAAGCAAAAAATATATTCATGAGTAGAAAAACAGTGTACACAATATGCAATTTAAGAATAAAATTACTTACAATTTAGTGTTTAAAAATTACATCTCTAAGATGGTCGCCTTCTGCTTGGTATGGAATTCCTTCTTCGAACAAGTTAAACCACGTTTTGGTGATGTCTCTTGGCCTCCTCGCTCACCGGATCTTGCAGTTCCCGATTTATTTCAATGTTTTTTTTTTAATCTAGAATTTACAAAACAAACCACAAACAATACAGGAACTTAAAGAAGCTATTCGCCAGGAAATCAACGCCATTCCTAGAGAAATGTTAGCAAAATCCGTAATTAAGGAACACCTTCAACACTGTATCAAAGCAGAAGGCGACCACCTTAGATATGTAATTTTTAAACACTAAATTGTAAGTAATTTTATTCTGAAATTGCATATTGTGTACACTGTTTTTCTACTCATGAATATCTTTTTTGATTTGAATTGCCTGAATACTAGTTATTTGAAAAACATGCGTTTCTCGGTAATCACCCTATATATAAAATCCAATGTATGTATATTTGTTTGTTTGTTTGTCCTTTATGGACTCCGAAACCGCTCGACAGATTGTAATGAAACTTTGAGGCATTATTAAGCATTATTCAAGGATGGTTTTTGTGAAGTTTGGTGCAGATCCGTCAAAAGAGCTCCGTCCCAGTGGCTCTGGAGTTTCCCATGTTAAACTTATGAGTACTCATATTTAAATGGAATTAAAGAATCTTAACAGCTGGTTCAACTAAACAATTTTATTCTGTAATGTTCAATAGCATTAAAAAGTTAATAAGTTTACCAACAGGGTTCAGCACTATTTTTTTTTATGACAACAGCTAATTTGCAACCAAAAGGTGAGTGGAGCGTAGCGAACAAACTTCAACTAGGACATGATTGAGCCATGCGAACAAGCTCATCTTGAAAATGAATGAGCATTTGACATCAAACCTAATTAGGACAGGACAAAGTCTGTCAGGCCAGCTAGTTACCTATATAAGTGAGTAGAAGTTTCGTAACATTTTAACAATTATTTAACACTAGCAGAGTACCCGTCCTTCGTACGGGGTTGGCATATAAGTATAAAATGTTTATTGCAGTTATGCTCATAAGCTTTCTGATTGCAATGGGGAAGGACACAGTTTGATAACATTTGCTTCTCTAAATTTAAGGTATACTATAGTATTATACATCTACCATAGCCATAATGTTCTACCACTAAAAAAATATTATTAAAAATTCTCAAAATGTCACAAATTATTCATGAAATTAAAAACAGAAACATAACTGTAATCAATCCTTCTTTGACAGTTCTCATTGCGTATCACAGTTTTATTGAGCGGAGCGAGCGAAGCGAGCGAAGCTCTTATACGTCGACTTTTATGCATTTCGTAATACGCAAACTCCTCCTAGACGGCTGAATCAATCGTTTTCAAATTTTGCATGGTGATAAAGACCATATCGGTGAGTGCCAACATCTATATGGCGTTAAAAAAGTCTCTCAGGAATCTGTAGAAAAATGAAACTGAAAATCACATTTTTTTAACATTAGTCTTATGGGTTGCTAGGTAACCATGTTGGCTGAATTAAATAACAAGTAAAAAGTAAACAAAAGATTTGAAGTTTTAGCATGTGCTCATAATAAGCCAACTACCCACAGTATACTAGGAAATTACAAATACAGTACAAAAGGAAAAACATCACTTGCTAATATTGAGCAAAGATTATACTTAAGATTACTCGATACATTGTAGTCAAGGGTAGCAGTGCGAAGTCTAGGATCTGTTTATGACGAATACATTAAGGTATCTGCAATCCTAAAATGCTATGGGAAGGGAGGAAAACAGGTCCGCGACGTAGGAAGTGGTGAAGGAAGTAGTCTAGGCGAGTTGTCCGGAGTGTTGGAAATGTTTATGACAATTAGATTAAGGTATCAGCAAACCTAAAATGCTACTGGAAGGGAGGAAAACAGGTCCGCGACGTAGGAAGTGATGAAGGAAGTAGTCAAGGTGAGCTGTCCGGAGTGTGGGGACTGTTTATGACGATTAGATTAAGGTATTTGCAATTCTAAAATGCTATGGAAAGGGAGGAAAATAGGTCCGCGACGTAGGAAGTGGTGAAGGAAGTAGTCTAGGCGAGTTGTCCGGAGTGTTTGAAATGTTTACGACAATTAGATTATGGTATCAGCAAACCTAAAATGCTACGGGAAGGGAGGAAAACAGGTCCGCAACGTAGGAAGTGATGAAGGAAGTAGTCAAGGTGAGCTGTCCGGAGTGTGGGAACTGTTTATGACGATTAGATTAAGGTATTTGCAATCCTAAAATGCTATGGGAAGGGAGGAAAACAGGTCCGCGACGTAGGAAGTGGTGAAGGAAGTAGTCAAGGCGAGTAGTCCGGAGTGTGGGAACTGTTTATGACGATTAGATTAAGGTATCTGCAATCTTTAAATGCAATGGAATGGAGGGAAACAGATCCATGACGTAGGAAATTGTGTAGGATGTAGATGTGTGGATTTATGCATCTCCAATACTACGGTGCTTTCAGAGTGAACTAATGATTTTCCCCGAGCAAAGCTCGGTCCCCAGGTACTGTAATCAAATGACGACACTAGCTTGAGGTTCGTGACGTATGAAGAGGTTAAGGAAGTAGTAAAGGTGAACAGTCTGGAGTATGGAAACTGTTTATGACGATTAGATTAAGGTCACAACATTCCTAAAATGCTACGGAAAGGGAGGGAAACAGGTCCGCGATGTGGGAAGTGGCGAAGGAAGTAGTAAAGGCGAGCTGTTGGGAGTGTGGGATCTGTTTATGACGATTAGATTCAGGTATCTGCAATCTTAAAATGCTATGGGAAGAGAGGGAAACAGATCCGCGACGTAGGAACAGGTGAAAGAAGTAGTAAGGTGAGCAGTGTGGAGTGTGGGAACTGGAAACCGTTTGTAGCAGTTTTAATGTATCTGCAATGCTGAAATGCTATGAGAAGGGATGGAAGCATGCCCAAGACATAGGAAATTGTGAAAGAAGTAGTAAAGTCTAGCAGTACGGACAGTGGGGATGTTTGTTGCAATTAGATTAACGTATCAAAAATACTAAAATGCTATGGAAAGCGATGAATACAGGTCCACGACGTAAGTGGTGAAGGAAGTAGTAAAGGCTGGCAGTGCAGAGTGGGGGAACCGTTTGAGCAGATGGATAAATGAATTTGTAATACTTAAATGCTATGAGAAAGGAAGGAAACAGGCCAATGACGTAGTAAATGGTGAAGGAAGTAGTAAGGCTAACAGCGCAGAGTGTGGGAACTGTCTTTGGCAATTAAATTAATGTATCTGCAATCCTAAAATGCTATGGGAAGAGAGGGAAACAGGTCCACGACGTAGGGTGTGGTGAAGGAAGTAGTAAAGGTGAGCAGTGTTGAGTTTGGGAATGGATTAATGTATCTGCAATGCTAAAATGCTACGGGAAGAGACTGTAGACTGTAATATGTTAAAATGATTACGAAGCACAAATCGATACATATTTTCGATACATGCAATCGTTTACAATCGAAATTTACAACTGAGTTGACAACAGCTAATTTTTACTCCATAGAGGCTAAAAACGATTTTTACTCCCTAAATATTAAAAATGCTACTTTAGACCCGCAGCGCATGCATGAAAAAATACTGTTTTTACTGCAGTAAGACAAAAACAATATAATATGAACCCTTGATGACTCCGCTCAATTTTGTGGATGCCTCTGCGAACGCCACCTAGTAAATGCAAAAGAAATAGTGCTGCACCCTGTTGGTAAATCTTATAACTTTTTAAGGCTTTGCATATCATAGAACAAACCTTTTTATTTGAAACAGCTGACTAAATTATTTTATTCCCTTTAAATATGAATACTCATAAGATTAACATGGGGAACTACAGAGGCACTGGGGCGGAGCCCGAAAGGATTTTTGAGATAAGAATATGCCTATATGTTAATCGGGAATGTAAGCTATCGTTGTGCCAAATTTCAGCCCAATCCGTCCAGTGGTTATTGCGTGATTGAACTTCAAACACACACACAAACACAAACTTTCACATTTATAATATTAGTAAGATTTCTCTCTTATCTAGCGCAAGTTTTACACTTTCAGCTTTACTCTTCTGGATATTAGAGAGAATTCTTCATTTGCATTTGACATGTTGGTCGAAACCAATCAACACTGCAGCATCTTCTATATATTTACTGCGAATATTTACAGTTTAAGTGTAAATTTATCTGATAGTGATGAAAGGTAAATTTGATTATTATATTCCTATTATTAGTCATGCAACAGATTAATACCCCGCCGCAGCAAACCTGCAGACTAAGCGAATTTCCATCTACCTGCCAGGAATTCCAATACATTATTCCCTTAAAATTATCGGATTTATTTCATATTTAAATGTAATTAATTTTAATGAGTAACAACAAAAACATTACCTCTTCAAGTGCTTCACTTTGCACCCTGGGGTTTTCGGAAAGACTTCAAAAAACCTGAAGAATCTATCAATGTCGTAGAGGTTCATGATAGTTTCAATCTTCTCAGGATCGGTACTGATGACCAAACCCCCCACAGGGTACCATTTGTCAAACAGATCGCTCAGAACTGGTCTCGTATCATTGTACAGTGCATATACTTTACCCATACGATCCTTAATTTCATCCTTGTTCCTTAAAAGTGAGCATTATTTAGTACCGTAAACTGACCATTGCAAATACCTCCTAATTCACTGCCTACCCTATAGCCTATATTTTAATTATGTAAACACCAAATTGCATGAATATGATGCTTAAAATCGTTGACTACTGTGCTACTGTATACAAAAAACAGTAATGGATGCTATGCAGCTTTATGTTTTTTTTCTTTAAGAGATTCAGTGAAATAGTATTTTTCTTCAGAGTTTTTAAAATTCATAATGGCGTTGATATTGAATAATATGTTATATATTATTTGATTGGACTTCTAAAAACTTGTGTTAATTGGATTATTGGATTTAAAAGTGATTTTTTAATACAGTGAAACAGTATTGGACTTTACCCAAGGGTTTAGTATAGTTTTGGGTTATTCCTATTTGAATATTTTAAATGGCTATACATTTTAAATATTTTTATAAGAACTCATTAATATAAGTAAGGAATTGGAATTAGTAAGTATAACTAATTACGGAGACTTCGGGCAATTTTATTTATCTGAAGTAGGTTTTGATTCAGAAACAAAACAAAGCAATAAAATCCTACTAGGTTCAGAATCATCATATTCAGTTTTTAAACTAAATATTAGTAAATATGTAATGTCGAGCTTTACCTTCCATTGATTGACAGTGGTGGTGTCATCACTTTGTCTACTTTGAAAGGCCATATGACTTCATCTATTGAAAAATGTACAATCATTAAAATCTTTAAAAAAGGCACACCAAATTAAATAATAATGTTGTAAAATCAATATGACACATACATTTATTTTACCTAACTCACCACGTTAAACTTCCCTATTCCAAGTGTGATGTATACAACTTCTTTACTTCTCAAGTGTTGTAAAGTTGAAAAAACTCACTCGGTGAGGTAATGAAACCCTTTTAAAAAACATTGAGTGCTTAACTTAAAAAATATACCTCTATGGAGCCAACGACATCAACACTAGAAATCAGCTGTGTACTTGAATTTTATTGTAATGTTTTATAGCTTTTGTTTGTAAATGAACTTTACTGTTAGAAGATGAGTGAAATGGATAATGAAAAATATTGTTCGTAACCTCATGTATATTGTCGGGTCAGGTAAAATCTTGTACGTTACACGTTACCTAAAAGAGCGTGTTTACATCACTTAAGTAAATTATGCAACTCGCTTCCGCTCGTTGCACAACATTCACCTGCGTGATGTAAAAACGCTCTTACTACACTTGTAAGGTAAATAGCTATAATATACTTAACAATAACAGAAACAAGAAATGCTTCTTTCACCTCACTATTCACGTCTGTGGATGGAATGCTAGGCAAAGAGTTTCAGATCTTACTCAGAACAATGGCAGAACGCCTAACAGAAAAATTGAAGAAACCTTACAGTTTAGTGATGAACTGGATAAGGGTGAAAACCATCTTTGCGACATTAAGGGCCAGCAGCATGTGTCTAAGGAGGACAAGAAAGAAGTGGAGGATCCTTAGAGAGTTTGAAGATGGGGCTGGGTACCAGCTTTTTATTAATTTAAATAGCAAATGTTTATTGTTTTCCCATGTTCAAATTGTACTATTACTTATTATAATATTAAAATTCTTTGTTTGAAAAAAAATTATAAGGTACCTACGTTTCAATATTAACTGGAAAATTAGATTATGTTAGAATAAGAAAATGAAACCCTCCCGTTCTGTTCGTAAATTATATAAACACTTTTAGAACATTTTAAACGTTTACTTAATTACTCCCATGGCCATGGATACCCTAGGTAGTATTTGGCCTCGCCAACAAGTGGCCTCCATCTCTCCCTGTTCTCTGAATCTTCTTCCCTTGCTCTCGATTTTTGCAAATCTTTCTCCACCTGGTCCTTCCATCGATTCTTGGGTCTTCCTAGGAATCTTCTTCTTGCTGGGTTCTGTCTCCAAACTTCTTATTAGTCTACCATCTTCCCTCCTAATACATGGCCAGCCCACCTTATTCTTCTGCTCTTTGCTTCTCCTACTATGTCTGGGGAATGGTAAATATCCCTTATTTCTTGGTTGTACCTATAATTCTCCATCCTTCTCCCTATCTAACACGTCCAAATATTTTTCTCAAAACTCTGTGTTTTCAAATGAAACTTTTCTGTTTGTTTGTCCATAACCTATTTCTCTGACTCTGCTACATAAAGCAGGATTGGTCTTATAATAGTCTTGTCTACTCTTAATTTTGTTTTATATGGCAGTAATTTTGATTTAAAAATGTTTTTTAATGCATACATGCTTCTATTTGCAAAATTCATTCTATTTTAGACTTATATTAATTCATTACTTTTTGAATTTACTATTGAACCCAGGTATTTGAACTCTTCAACTTATTCGAATTTATGGTTTAATACTTCAAAAGTTTCTCTACCATTGTTTCCCTGGCCAAAAATATACCAACTTAGTCTTTTCGTCGATTATTTCTAATCCTATTGAATGAGTTCTGCCTATTGGAATACGTATCTCCATCAGTTCATCTCTGTCTTCCAATACTAACACAACATCATCTGCAAATGCCAGTGCTCATATTTTAGTTCCATTGCTTACCTAGATTTCTATCTCTTTATTTCTTTTAATCCAGAGCTAGATTAAAGAGCAATGGTGAGAGAATGTCTCCATGTCTCACGCCCGTCCTACTGGCGTGAGTATTTATTTTCTACTCTAACCTTACATTTGGAGTTTTTCAAAGTAATTTTTGCCATTCTAATTAGTTTTGTAGGTACAGTATTCCATAGCATTCCATTTTCCCCCAAGTTTATCTTGTAAAACACTATCATAAGCTTAGATTTAAACGTTTGGTTCATTAATACAGTAGAACCCGAATTCGGGTTAACCAAAACCCTGATTAACCGAAATGGTTCTATAAAATAATATTGAGCTGTAAAATGCTTCAATAACTTCAGTTGTCTGGTTTAAAGTATTTTATATCCCTTTGTAACATTTTTGTTGCTGAAATAAAACACTGAATTAAGACATTCTCTTAAATTGAGTTTTCCTACACACTGTGGTGATACATATTAGCTATTTTTAGCATATGATGGGTTAACCGAAAAATTTCTCCCCCCTTTATTTCGGTTAACCGGGGTTCTACTGTATATATACAATGTTCTACTCCTACAGAATGTTATTCAAAAATACAAACAAATACAGTAGTGTTTGTGTTCCTGCCACTGTTGTCAATAATAATGTAATAATTTGTGAATATTCATATTTCCAATCTGCCCACTTACTCGTATCATGAGGAACATATGAGTACACCGTACCAGTAAAACCCTTATCGTAAACCTTTAAGTTTTAAAAATGGGTTTATAATAAATCAAAATACAGTTATCAATTGCTAAATATATCTACTCACCCACATTAAAAATTATTGCACCAGGGAGTGTTGGTTCTACAGCAAACTTAAATGGGATTCTTTCATCATAATCTGATGATGATAATACTGGAGAGATATTAGTTATAATTACATACAAACACAGTACAACAAAAAGACAATGAGTGTATTGCCTTTTACAACATTGAATAGATCCAAACATATCTTTACCGAATCATTAGCTAGCTATCACATCTTGCTTGATGTCCCATCAGTGTTTTAATCATTCAGTTGATCTATTACTGTCCTTGTGTTTTACTATCATTACATCAATGAGAACATCCCATTTATACATTTAACACTTGGATACTGTAATGTCCAAAATTATTACCCACTTCCTGATGTGGACATAGTGACTCACATTGCAGAGTTGGCATTTTATTTTGACATTGACTAAATACCCAGAATGCATTGTAACTTCATGTTGTGTTGTTTATTCCGAATCACGTTGACAATAATATTGTAAAAAGGTTAAAATACCTGTAACTGCCTCGTGATTCCTCTGTTCCTGTACTGGACTACGCGCGTTTCGATGTATTCACATCATCATCAGGTCACAAACTTGAAGAACTTAAACCATTCTTGAATTGGTCGCGTCAAAGTTTACAAAAAATACACAAAACATTTAAACATTTAAAAAACAGGGACAAAAACTGTAGGCCTACAGACACTGGTGTGCACATGACGGGTGCCGAGTCTCGACTGGTTCAGGAGCTGAACTTTGTCCCCTGGCCGCCTTTATCACGGTCCTTGTCCAACTTTATGAGTGATTCAAATAGAATATTAGTTTGCAGAGTGCTTTTGTCATTTAATATGTCCTGGGGATTGTTTTTTGCGGCTTTATAAATTTCAAACTGTTCCAGAGCTGTCATGATCCTGCCTTTGTTGCAAATGTGCAATGGTTTTAAGTTTGTTTCCAAATTAGTATAGTTGTGGTTGTTTAGTACCAGATGTTCGGCATAATTTATTAGATTTTTGCACCTTGGAGGCTTTTGGAATGTGTTCTTTGAATCTTTTCTCGAAGGACCGCCCTGTTTGGCCTATGTAAAATTTACTGCAGTCGTTACAGGATAATTTATATACTCCGGTTCTCTTGTTAACATCACCACCTGATCCTTTAGTGTTTATAAGCTTATCTAATTTGTTTGAGGTTCTGAAGGATACTATTTTTCCATGTTTTTTCATCTCATTTTTTATTGTTAGAGGCAATTGTTCGCCAAATTCTGCTAAAACAAACTCACGTTTATTTTGTGGAATTCGAGTGGGAGGATTGTTCAATTTCTTGCGGTGTTTTTTAATTAAATTATCAATCATAACAGGACTGTATCCGTTGGATGTTGCGATGTGCTTTAAGATGTTTCTTTCGGTTTCGTAATCTTCAGTGTTCAATGGTATGGTTAAAAGGCGATGAACAAAACTATTATATGCGGCAAGTTTGTGAGACATAGGGTGATGAGACGTTGCGTGAATAGTTGTGTCCGTAGCTGTTGGTTTCCTATAGATATTGAAGGCAAAACAACTATCACGTTTATTCAATGTCAGATCGAGGAAATTCAGAGAATTGTTTTCTTCTAATTCGAGAGTGAATTTTAATTTGGGATGGATGGTATTCATGAAAGTGGTGAACAACTGAACCTGTCTTGGATTGCCATCATACAAAATTACAATATCGTCAACATATCTGTAATAAAATATTAGTTTGTTTCGATAGCGGTTGTTATCGGTCCATATGTATCTGTTTTCGATATTATTGAGAAAGATTTCTGCCAAAATGCCTGACAATGGTGAGCCCATTGCGAGACCTTCTTGTTGGATGTAAAAATCGTTGTTGAAATGGAAGTAGTTTTGTTTCAAAACAATTTTCAGTAATGTCATCAATTCATTACGCTCTGGAACAGTTTGAATGTTCATCAGTCAGCAGAATGTTCATCATTCAGCTCTGGAACAGTTTGAAATTTATAAAGCCGCAAAAAACAATCCCCAGGACATATTAAATGACAAAAGCACTCTGCAAACTAATATTCTATTTGAATCACTCATAAAGTTGGACAAGGGCCGTGATAAAGGCGGCCAGGGGACAAAGTTCAGCTCCTGAACCAGTCGAGACTCGGCACCCGTCATGTGCACACCAGTGTCTGTAGGCCTACAGTTTTTGTCCCTGTTTTTTAAATGTTTAAATGTTTTGTGTATTTTTTGTAAACTTTGACGCGACCAATTCAAGAATGGTTTAAGTTCTTCAAGTTTGTGACCTGATGATGATGTGAATACATCGAAACGCGCGTAGTCCAGTACAGGAACAGAGGAATCACGACGCAGTTACAGGTATTTTAACCTTTTTACAATATTATGCATTGTAAGTAAATTGTTTTACTCAAATGCCGATGTTCCAAGAAATACAAGAATAATTTTTAACCTCGATATCAGTTTACTCACAACCCATTTCTGGGCATTTTAATTTGACCAGTGTATGAACAAAATGCCCACCCTGCTCCCGCAACATAAGAATTTTACAATGTCGATCTACATCAGGAAGTGGTTGACAATTTTGGAAATTAATTCAATTCACAGTTTCAGCGGAAAGAGAGTTTAGCCGTTGCTATCGTATTCTACTCAAAGATTATAGTTTGAATAGCTGAGTATAACCAGGAAAAATGTGTTAAAATTTAAAAAATAATTAACTTACAAAGCAAAATACTTAAGGCCTATATATTATTTTACAGAATTCACTAAAAAACATGATAACTAAGAAATCATCTGCAGTATTATAATTAATGTAATTCTTCTCTTTATATTCAGTAGTAAATAAAAATTTTCTTTCCAAAGAACTGTATTTGAATAGATTGCTTGAACCAGTTCGCAAACATTTCCCCCAATATATTGTGGCAGATTTTCATAAATTAAGTAACTTAGGTACCGGTAAGTCTGTGGAGTGTGGATTGTCATATGGATAAAATAGTATCATACCTAGTTGGGTAGTGGTCATTATGTGGTTTTCACTAAAATTTAGATTTTTTTAACAAAGTTGGTTGTGAATTTGTTTAGTTTTCAAGTATAGAAAAAAGTCTTTTATTCATAGTTATAAGTTAAAGATGTATTAGCATAGACAACAAGAATTAAATATAGACTGTCAGCAGTGCTGCGGTTACCATGGTTACCATAGGTTCTGGCACAGACCATTGGAGCGTTTAGTTACGAAGGGAGTACACCATAACAACTACATGGCGCTCCCAGCAATGTAAGTCAGAACCTATGGTAACAACAGCACAGCTGACGGTATATATTTAGTTCTTTTTGTCTATGGTATTAGCAAATAGCAAAACTGAGATTCAAGCTTTATTATATTTATTTCATACTAATCTGTATACACTTTTTTTGGTGCTTTTGAGAACTTTGACATTCAATATCATCACCACGACAATTAATGTAGTGTAAGCTAATGAATAGAACACCAGTTCAGTTTTTCATCATCATTGTTTAGAATTTGTACATATGTTTCTTAGCAAACTTTAGTTTTAAATAGTAGGCCTATTGACTACTTGATGCAGCACTTTAGGTACTTGGAGACAAAACGCTCAAGTATGAAGCCCAACTTTGAGGATACATCTTTTGGGTCATTTCCTTCTTGAATTTCATCAAACCATTCCTCATTTAGAGACGTCTCACTAGTCAAATTTTCTTCATTTTTTGCAGTTTCAGATTTCCGCATTTCGCTCTGTAGCTTCTGCGTTGTTAACAGGATGTTGCATTCTAATAAACTTGAATGAACCTCAGCCAATAGTCTTGTGATGTCTTCTTTGCTATATTCTGACTCTTGAGAATCTTTCCCAGTTGTTGTATTTTCTTTACAACTTTTTAGACAGTTTCTTGACTCTATCCACTTTGTCACAAATTCCTCGTCATCAGATGATGATTTCATCGAGTCTGAAGACTTGGTAGCTTTTACCAACCACCGGCACTCATTACAAAGTTCATCGGGATTTGGATATATTTGGTAAAGTTTTTGGTCACTCTGTGGTCCTATATCTTCTTTTACTTGAGAAATAAACGAATCCACAATCAACTTTGTAATAATGTCAAAACTACCCTCTTTTTTGAACGGTTTTTTATTTCTTTTACCTGAACAATGAAGTTTGTCCTGAGACTTAGTAAGAGCAAAGTTAACATTTTGTTCTGGTTGAGGATTTTCAGTTGAAGAGTTAGTTAGATGTGCTTGAATTTTAATGTTTCCCTCTGATATATTTACATTATCACTGTTGGTTTTAGCAGAGCCAGCAGGAGCAGACACATCCTCTACTTCGTTTAGTTGTTCTTTAAACTTTTGCTCAGACATCACTTCTAATAAATATATTTTGAAACTAAAATTAGTACAGTACCTATTCTTTTTTCCAATAGAATTTGTGACAGATAACAAGAAATTTATTAGAGATGCCAAATAAAAAATTTTAATAAAATAAAGCCATGGAAACATCAACAAAATTAAAGGTTTATTTAAAGATGATCAAGAAATAAGTAAAAAATTTAATATGTTCATTATAAAAGATAAATTAGATAAACATACCCCCGCAGCAAACCTGCAGACTAAGCAAATTTCCATTTGCCTGACTGGATTTACGCTAAAATGTCTCCTTAAAAATATCACATTTATTCCCTATTTAAATAACATTAGTTTAACGAGTATTTAGGTTTGCTGCAACAGGATGGGTAATAAGGTGTTTTTTGTAAAATGTAATAGTTTAATATGAAATAAATGCATTTTCCAAAGTTGATCAAAATATGTTCATAAACAAGCAAACTACAACAGTTTACTTATTCTCCATAATAATAACATGGGAATTTTAACATTACAGATTTTTGGGATTTTCTCGGTAACCATTAGCATAGATAAAACATACTCCCTTAGGCGCATAACTAAGACATTTTTACCTGTGCATAACTGTCGTCAGTTACCTAAATTCTTGGGTGTAGTGGTAAATTTCCAGTACTATTTAAGGATAATTTGGTAAAATAAGAGAAGAGAATTGTGGATATTTATAGGCATGCACTGTGGATGCGATACTCTCTGGTGTGGATCAATCACACGAGTGAGTACTACGACTATCCCCAGTTAGTTACTATCTTGATAATTAGACCGATTCTATATACCAAGGCAAAAAGTGGTTTGGATTCCTATAAACTGTAGGTCCCTTAGTTGCCATTAGCTGTATGGGCTATTAATTAACAGTGGTCAAGCGTGATTACGTAATCAAGTTTAAATTGAAGCCGTACTTTTATATGGGTGCGGTTTCCAAGCGCGAGCGATCACGCCGGACATGAGTTTTCCCGCCATCTGTCCGGCGTGAGTCCAAAGCGTGGCACACTGGAAATGAAATGACCCAACCAAAGTCACCCGAGCGGACAAGTTGTTTTGAACTATTCTGTTTTAAATTTAAATTGTGCCTAGAGCGTGTTTAAATTTCTGTTTTTGATGATCTTTCCTTTTTTTGTGCTTTGTGCTTATTGAGAGTGAATTGTCAGTTATGGAGTCAAATGTATTTACTTTGGAAAAAATGAGAAACTTATTGATTTAGTTCGTAGTTTTCCGTGCTATATGACATGAGTTTTCCTTTCATTGTCCATCAAATAGCTTGATATCAAAATCCTGAAGCAGCCATCATCTTCCATTTTATCATACATCGGGTGTGGTTCCATACGAACAAAACCTTCCAACAACATGGAATCTTCCTCCTCCTCAATTCTTCCAGCAACAGGAGCAACAGTTACAACGACCATATTGGTTAAAAACTGACAACTAGCTCATTCCCCTAGAAATAACCGCGAAATCCGCTTTCTTGCAAACCACCCTCACGCCGAGCTTGATAGGACATCACGCCGGACAGATCACGCTGGAAGATCGCGCAAGTCATCTTACACTCATCTCCATTCATAATTGGCTTAAAATGTACCTACTTTGTATGATTGCTATTTTAATCAAAAGTATAAGGTATGAATATATTTCAATTTATATTGTTTTGGTTTTCAATTCCATAGGTTTTATTTTCTATCTTTTAATAAATTTAAATTTATAATAAGAATGTTACGTGAATGATACGATGGTGTCACCTGATCTGCCATGTCCTATGTTATCTTATGGGACGTCTTTCGCTAAACAACACTTGCGACTTTATCATTGGAGTTAAAGGTGGCCGTGCCTCTACAGTGCACCGCTACCGCATAGATCTAACAATACAATTAATTGGTTTCAGTTGTTCCATAAGGATGAGACACCACTAAGGTAGTATGTTTAGTATAATTTATCTGTGATTAAACATACTATTTAAAAAATAATATGGCACTATTACAAATTAATGGACCAGCTGCATATCGGACTGCTTTGGATCGGGCCGGATCCATCATGTAGCCAATACCATAGATAAAACATACTCCCTTAGTAGATTTCTCATCCTTATGGAACAGCTGAAGACAGTTTTATCGTTAGTTCTGTACGGTTTATGTAGAGGTCGTGTTTTGTTTACAATTTGTTTCCCGTTATTACAGCCATTTAAAAAGCTCGTTTAACCAAATAATACGATCTAATCATAAACAATAACTTGTCCCCTAGTTATATAACCAAACAGTAAAGCACAAATCAAGAAATTAACCCTAAAATAATATAAACAAAGTTTCGTCGACACTAGCGCCCATGTGTTACGTACATGAACTAGACACGAAAAACGTGCTTCAAAATTTACAATGAGATGAGAAGTCTACTTGTGTTGGTTAGTCTATGCCAATACCATAGATACTCCTCAAGTAATAAAAGTATGTTTTATCGGGTCACTGTCAACGCGCCACCACGTCAAACCACCACCTCGGTGTTTTGGTCAGAGGCGTGAACCCGCCACCACAAAAAAACAGAGGTGGCGGGTTGACGTGTACACACGTCTACTCGCCACCACAACAACGTACCATCATGACAACCCGCCACCACACATTTATCTGAGGTGGTCGGTTTTCGTGCACACTCACGTCAATGAGCCCCCACGACAACGTGCCACCACGCAACCCGCCACCATCAGTTTTTATCATAGATGGCGGGTTCTCTTGAAGCTCCATGTTTGATGACGGCAACCCACCACCTCGCAAGTATGCGAGAACGTGCCACCCCCGTCAACCCGCCACCACTCTATTACAAGTAGGTGGGTTGAAGTGTACGCTCAATGTTCGGTGCCGTCAACCCGCCACCACGCACGTATGCGACAACGTGCCACCCCGACCACTCGCCACCATGAACACTGGCAGTTAACCAGTTGAAATTATATTCTGTAAAATTAAGTATACTGTACTTTGATTCATTTATTTTAAACTAAATTAATATTTCAAATCAGGAATTTTATTTATCCTATTTTATTTTACTAATATTAATGTGAAAGTGCCAATACTATTGACTATAGATAGTAATACCATTGATTATGGCGATACTATACTATATCTAAAAGAATACGCCCAATTGCTATCACACATTGTATAAATAGCAAGAAAGTGGTTTAAATTGAATTTCTTGAAAGGGTTGCCGGAATTTTATCCCCCTGGAATTTTACCTCCTGGGCAAAGCTGACGTCACTATGACGTAGTAACCTGAGTGGCCAAAAGTTTGTTCGAGGCCGGAATTTTACCCCCGCGGATTTGGAAGTCTAATGAAAATAGACAGAATTTCTACGAGATTGTATGCATTAGACCATATATAAACCATAATCCCTTGCATATTGTACAATATGTTCAGCTAACTTTTACTGGCTTGTAAGATAAACCAAATGACACAATTTGTAAGTGTTGGTCTTTGGTCGCTTCGCTTATCAATCAATAGTCAACTCTCTTCTAACTTCTAACTCAACTCGTTGTACTCAACCCCAAAACCGTTTTTTCGATCCTATCTATCCACTATCCTCACCTCAGTTTTGAGTTATAAAACAAAACAAATAACGTCTAGCAGTAGCAAACATCAACATTTTTATAATTAATTAATTAAAATAATGCCAATTTCTTCAAGCCACTTTTTGTTTAATTGGTCTATTCTCGATATTCAATAACCTTGGATTTGAGTTATTTCAGGAACTCAGACAGAGAGCCAAAGGCCAAAGTCAAAGCGCCATTTTAATTCTACAGTAACCGAGCCAAAGCCGGTAACTAAGATGACAATCGGTCTGGAATGGTGAATTCCGTAATCTTATCTCCTATTAATGGAAATATAATATAAAATTAGAAGCTTTACTAAATAGTGTAAATGTTATTAATTTGTTTGTTGCTGTTCTAAAATAACTGTACCTTAATTTATAAGATGACTTATTTGTTTACATTCAGTTACAATGCTGTGAGCTGCTCCACCAATCATATCGTTGCGCGGATAAACTGTTTGGATGTCCAGCCAATGGGAGATCTCGATTTAAAAATCGTACCTCTTTGTGTGTAGTAGAGGTGTATCTCTAGTAAACGAACCGCAATTTAGGTTACTACAATTGTTTAATTTTCACTTATTGGAGTCTTTAGGTGAGTGAACAATTAATATTTAACTAGGATATTTCAAATTTCTTCAAGAGATAATCTCTTATATTTTCTAGAGACCTGAAATTCGAGTGTTAACCTAGCTCTATAACCCTATTCTAAATTCCCTTTGTAGTTGGTATGTCACTATACCATATTACATTCTCTTACTAGTTTTAATCAATTTGAAGCAACTTTATCAACGCCGTGATTTCTTATTCTACCAGTCGCTTAATATGCACTTTATTTTTCAAACATAGGAATTGTTATTATTTCATTGAGGCGGGAACATTTTCAAGGTCATTCACGCATAGTAGGCGAAGGAGGGAAAGCAGCATTCTTCCCATTCAAATCCGTTGCTAGGATACATTTGTTTATGCATTACACATTTTATGAAATATTTCCGTTTCAATAACTTATAAGTTAGAGCATCTAAGTTACTTAACTTACCATTTCGAGAATAGTTTTTCTAATAACACTTAACTCAATGGCTAGCTCTTGCTTAATGTAATGTCCAAAAGTCATGAGCCTAAGCCTAGGCCTGGTCAAAATTATTCTTCATCTAAACTTAATGTTACCTCATAATGGCCTAGATAGTACTGTACCTAAGTTTTATACAAAAGTAAAACTAGGCCTAGCCTAACTTAATAAAGTTTAAACAACTTGGAGTTTCTTCTTTCATTTTAAATATTATAATTTAAACTCAACCTATTTTGCTTGTTGAATTTACTTATGGTACTTTAGATAGGTCAAGCTTAATTTTGTATTTCTCACCCAAGCTAGGCAATTAAATCTTAGGAACGATAAGTTATATCGGGCCTCGATCGTAACTTATGAGGTTCAATCGAATGAAACCATCACTGTATCAAAACAACAACCGAGTCAACCAATACTAACCTAACTTAAATGCCCATTTAAACTCACACGATCGAAAGTCTCGCCGGAACGATAACTTAAAACTTGTCGCTTAAGTTAGCGCTTTTTGGATGAAAAGCAAACTATACTTATTTTAGGTAAGTTACCGGTACCGTAAGTTTAACTTACTTTCCTTTTAAAGGGAACATTCATTTAGCCTATCGATGATTTCTTTTAGATCTGATATAAGTTATTGATATTTTTGTTTTACTTCTTGATCGGTATTCCTTCTGTTTTAGGCTAATATAGCTTCAAACGCATTTTAAATTACAAATTAAGAACTACCGTAACCTTGTTTTAAAAAGCAAAACTAATATCCTAGCCTACATATTGGCTTAGGAAATTAAACTATTCTAAACTAACCAAACATAACTAATCTTAACCAAACTTGCTGTAAGTTTAGGCTAAGTTACGATTTAAAAATTCGGTAATTATGTCGACCTCCAGTCAACGCTCTAAAAATTAATTTTTTTTATCTGTTCGTTTTTTTGTGTTGATTCCAAAAATGATAGTAATTTTTTGCGAAAAAGCTCCGTTTTCCGGAAAAACTGAAAAAATGCTTTTTTACCCAAAATACATGTTGTGGGTCTGTAGGTACTCAAATTGTGCGGAATTTCTGAATTGAACGGTATATTTCTCATTATGATCCGACCAATATTAAGTTAACATCATAAAACGGAAAAAACAGAAAAACACCTTTTTGTTTGGCTAAGTTAAATTATTAGGATAAACTTAAGTTAAGCTAACTGAAAGATGACCTAACCTATACTAACCCAACCTAGCCTAACCTAACCTATACTAACCTAGCCTAACCTAACCTAACCTAACTCAACCTAAACTAACCTAACCTAATAAAACCCCATTAGGTTAGGTAAAACTTACTCGACACTAACTTCGTTTGTGGTAAGTAGACTACTATTCATCTAATAACCTGTACCCAACCTAACCTAACCTAATAAAAACCCGTTAGGCTATGTTGGGTTAGGTTAGGTAAGTATAGGTTAGGTTAGATTAGGTTACAGGTTATTAGATGAATAGTAGTCTACTTACTGTACCACAAATGAAGTTATGGTCGGGGTTCGTAGAGTTCTGCAGCGGCAGAGAAGAAGAATAATGTGGCCGGTATTCCTCGGAGTATCTCTCTTTGAACAAAAATTCTGCGAGATACCCCAAAAAGTGCTTTGACGATTTGCCGTACTTAGGTATGTTAGCACGTATCTCTCTCCACCGGTGCTCAATGGTGTTTGAATGAGCCCCGGACTCTGAGTCGACAAAGTTCCTAGAGTGGTTCACTGTCAGGTATCTAAAATGGCTGTTCAAAGTGTAATAAGCCCGCCAGCAATCTGTTATCACCACCGACCCTGGACGGACCGACTTCCTCACCAATTTCACTAACGTCTTTGTAGAACGGTCATGAACCAGTACAAAAAAACTTTCTTTCATGTGCCTTGTCACACCTCCAAGAACCCACTGCCCCTTCACTATCCTGCCGCGATTGTATTTTCTTTTGCCAAACTTGGCTTCGTCAATTTCTACATTGCACCCTGGCCCTCCTATACGTTTCGCATTATCCACCTTCTATCAATGATACATGCACCTAATTTACAAACAAGAAAGAGGAAGTTACAAACAAGATTAAAAACAAACATTCCATTATAAGGGACAGGGTTGGGGGGATAGGGCTAGGAAAAGTTTTTTTCCGGTTTCTCATTTTTTTAAATTCGTTGTGAAATTCCGCACAATTTGAGTACCTACCCACAACATGTATTTTGCGCAAAACAGTATTTTTTCTGTTTTTCCGGAAAACTGAGCTTTTCCGCAAAAAATGTCTCATTTTTGAAATCAGCACTAAAAAACGAACAGATTAAAAAAAAATAATTTTTAAAGCGTTGACTGGAGGTCGACATAATTACCAAAAATTCTGTTTGATAACGGAAAAGGCATTGGGAATAGGCTATCAATCAGAATTATGTCAGAAAGTGTTAGGCTACAGCAAGTTTAGAACAGTTTCATTTCAATTTCAATATAATATTTTTTTATTGTTTGTTGATACTGAACAATATTTATTTAGGCTGTACTTTAAGTAACCATGTTGGAGCAAAAAACAACTGTTTTAATTTACACTTGTGCACCTGTTGCTCGAATTTGAGCGATTACAAAGTACAGTAGACTCCCTCTTATCCGGGACCTCCTCAGGCTCGGAAATTTAATTAAAATTAAAATTTTGAAAATTGAAAATTGTTATTTTTAAAACCCTATGCAAGTGTACAACTTGAAACTTATAGAATTTGGAGTACACACCTATTACTATCAGATAATAAATAACAAACACATAGTCAATTGCCTTTATGTAAAGAAAAATTGTTTAAAGTCAGTTTTTGTTACATCGTTGTGTTAAACTTAAAGCAGGTAACCTATATATTTAGTTAACAGGGGTTTTTTTTAACAGCATTTATTTCGGGTTCAATAATGAAATTATTTACAGAAGTGTTAACAAAATAAATAATAAATTAACAATGAGAGCATATTAAATGTGGAATTGACTCTAAAACTCAAGAATATCAAATTAAATTTAGACAGAATAGAAAACTAGTGTTTAATTGAATCAAGGAGAAACACAAAGGTTTAGGCAATAATCAAATACGAGTAATGTCCAGTGGTCGAAACTCGACCAAAAATATGTAATGTACTCACTTATGTTAATGTTTCACCCCACACTGTAAATAAAACATGTTATTGGAGTTTCTTCCATTTGTTTTGATTTTCTGTTTATATTTCGTTGTTATTTCGTCACCAGCATGGCAACGCATAAGATCCATGTAAATTTTTTCAAATTTTTAAACTCATTTTTTGCGCTTATCTTTGAGCCTATTTAAATTTATAAAGGGATTCTGCACACCTACAGGAAAATAGCTTTCTAACGGTATGCGTAGATTTTCCCTACGATGCACACGAGCTGAGAAAAAAGGTTTTAAAGAAACATGCTTGCCTATTAATATATAGATAATATATAGATAGATAGATAATAACATAAACATATGACTTAAATAAAAATAATAGTCACATGCTAAAAATAATAGTCACATGCTAGCTTATATACAGATCATGAGTGAAAGTCCAACCATGGCCCCACTAGAAAAACATACCATGCTGCAGGATCCATGACGTCACACTAGTGGAAATATTTCATTAATAAATTCATTGCCATCACCATTCCCTTATGTTTTAGGAAAATAAACAAGCTGGCTGTTTGTAATGGATTTTAATGGTAAGAGTTTAGTACAACTATCCACCACTGTGACGTAGTGTTGCGCTGCCCGTGCTGCAGCATGGCCTGTTTTTTTTCTAGTGGGGCCTTGGTCCAACACTATTACTGTTAATTTATTGAAAAATAATATTAAACATAACATAACAAAAACAATATTAACATTGTGGGTTCGCCCAGACCTGAAATACCCTGTAACATAATTAATTTATATAAAATAACTAGCTGACCCGGCGAACTTCGTATCGCCTAAGTTATAGGTTTCCCCTAAGACAGACCGATGGAAAGAAAGTACCGTTGCGTTTAATTTTCAAGATGATCTCGTTCGCATCGCTCAATCACGTCCTGGTTGAAGTTCGTTCGCTACGCTCACTCACCTTTGGGTTGGAGCTCGTTCGCTACGCTCACTCACCTTTAGGTTGGAGCTCGTTCGCTGCGCTCACTTGCCTTCAGGTTAGCTCGTTCGCTACGCTAACTCGCCTCCAGGTTGAAGTTCGTTCGCTACGCTCACTCACCTTTTGGTTGCAAATTAGCTGTTGTCATAAATGTAAAAGAAATAATAGTGCTGCACCCTGTTGGTAATCCTTGTAACTTTAATGCTATTGAACATCATAGAACAGAACCAACTTGTTTAATTGAAACAGCTGTTAAGATTCATTAATTCCATTTCTCATAAGGTTAACATGGGAAACTCCAGAGCCACTGGGGCGGAGCCCTTTTAAGAATTTCGAAACGGGAAATAGTTTACGTCCGATTCGCATACCTACAGAATTTACACATCAAATTTCATAACGATCGGTGAAGTCGTTCCGGAGGAGTTTGCAGACAAACACTGTGACACGAGAATTTTATATATTAGATTAATCTTCTTTCTAAGGCTTCCTTTATCCAATAGATCTTGAGGAAGCCTATGATGTATAAATAGCCTATATTACCATATTAAAATTTAGATCTTTCTGAAGATATTGGTTTTTAGCGAATTTCCCATAGGGAATAAGCAGCTATTACCGTAGTACTCATGGTAAGACCTGGTATGTACCAAATTTACCTTTTTTGTTTTGATAACCTCAGAGGTCAAAAACACCATACGTTCGTTAGTGCGATAACTCTAACCTACTGTACCTTTGTAAAAATTATCCAACTTTTATGAAATTTGGTACAATTGTGTAAACCTACTTTTATTCAAACGAGTTCGCAAGCGAGCGTGATTGAACCATGGATCACGCTCGTTTGCGAACTCGTTTGAATAAAAGTAGATTGAATAAGGGTCAAAAATGAGAGAATCTAATTTTTACCCCATAAAAATGGAAATTTATGGGGTAAAAATAAGGTTTTCTCATTTTTGACCTTGATTTTTGAGCCCTAGAGAGTAAAAATGCTACTTAAGCCCCGCAACGCATGCATTAAAAAATGGCTGGTTTTGCTGCAGTATGACGAAAAACACTTTATTACCTTCCCTGTAGCAGCAAATCTAGGTTGTCCATTAGCATGCTCCTTATTTCCTGATTGATTTGATTTATACCTACACAGCAAATTTGTTTACAGGGAACAACGATGGAAATGGATCTTTTCTACATCAATGGTCAAGATGGTATTTCACTACCTGAAATGATTGATTGGGATATCAAATTATGTGATTCAGACATCAAAGAAGAAATTGGAGTGAACAATTTTACAGGTGGGACTTGTTGGCTTTTAATTTTTGTGGAAGGCTTTAAAAATTATGATTTAAAAAATATCTATGGTTTGTTAAAAGCTCTTTAGGCCTAACAAAAATTGATTTATGTTATTTTTATAGCTGTTGATAGGCTAACTTAGCTATCCAGTGCTTTGATTACGATACATTGGTAATTCTTTTATGAATTAGCCTACAGTAGACCCCCTCTTAACCGACCCTAATGGGACTGGACCTAGGTCGGATAAATCAAAAGGTCAGTTAAAACGGACAATCCCTAAAATCATAACATAATGAAGTGCTATTCATTTGGAATTATATAATCATTATTTTGAAGTCATACTTGATCAAATAAACTACTCTTATCTCTTTTTTCGTATTTTGATACAAAAGTCACAAACAAACACAAAACACGGTCAAAAGTCAAATAGGCCTACTTTCAGTGGAATATTATAGTAGGCAAGAGTCAATACAAATTCCTATTTTAAGAAATGTAGTGTACTGTAATGTAATTTATGCTTTCCAAATCCATCATAATACAGTACAGAACCTTTGTCGAAATTAAAGATACAAGCAACCATTTTGTTACCAGAAAGGATGTTTTATTTGTAGCCTCTCACTGGAGGCTCGAGGGCTTTTAATTTCATGATCACTCTAATAGCTTTTTCTTGTTTTATAAGTATTTTATCCAAATTTGCCTTAGTTGTTGCTCCGTAAATGGCGATTCCATAGGATATGTGGGAATGAATTAGAGAATAATAGATTATCCTAAAAGAGTTTCCAAGTTGCAAACCTTGGACATCAGCCGCAAGGCATGAATGCCAGATGATAATTTATTTACTACATAGTTTATGTGATTATCCCAAGATAGATTTTCATCAATAACCAGTCCCAGAAACTTTGTTTGGTTTAACTGATCAATTTTGTCTGTTTTTATAAAAATATTAGGTTCAAATGCTGTTATTGATTGTTTAGTTGAAAAGGATATTAGATTTGATTTTGTTGTGCTGATAAGCAGATTTCTTTCATCCAAAAACATAGAGAGGAGACTCCTGTTTGAGGATTTTTCAATAATTAAATTGGATTTTTCTGAAAACAAAACATTAGAGTCATCAGCATACACACACATAGATCCATCACTGACCGGGATCATCTCTGGTAACCCCTTAATGTAACAGAGGAACAAAAAGAGGCCCCAAGATCGATCCCTGGGGTACTCCATATCGTAGTGTCTGCCGCTGAGATCTAAAGTTTTCAATATATTTAGTATTTCTTTTCTCTATTACGTAGTCCACTTCAACAAACTGTTCTCTGTTTTCTAAATATGAAGTGAACCACCGTAGTTCTTTTCCTATTATTCCTAATTCATTTAAAATATTTAATAGTTTACAATGTGAAACGCTGTCAAAAGCTCTACTAAGGTCTAAAAATATTCCAACTGCTTTATCACCATTATCTACTGAATTTATAATTGATTCAATAAAATCTATACCAGCTGTTATTGTAGATTTTCCTGGTCTAAACCCGTGTTGCTCCTTATCAAACACTTTCGTTTCAAGGTAATTAAAGAGCTGAATATAAACAACTCGTTCAAAAATTTTTGAAAAAACCGGTAAAAGAGATATTGGGCAATAGCTTGATGGGTCTGCGGTGTTTCCTTTTTTGAATATGGGAATAACTTTGGCTAATTTTAATTTGGATGGAAAAATTCCTGAAATCAGAGAAGAATTTATTACATGTGCTAATGGTTTTAAAATATATGGTAATGATCTTTTAATTATTGTGATAGGTATTTCATCATACCCCGTTGAATATTTATTTTCAAAAGAAAGTATTAATTTTCCAAGATTGTCTTCAGTTATAGATTCAAACTTAAAATTTTTAATAATGCAAGATTTTGAGGGTTTCTGTGTTACTGTACCTATTGCTGTTGTTAATGGTTGTGAAACATATGACAAAACAAGCTTTTCAACTGCAGTTGTAAAAAAGTTATTAAATATATTACTCACTGCCAGTGAATTCAAGAATTTATTATTGGCTAGCGAATAATAATCAAACCGATCACAAATCACTAGGCCTTCTTCAAATTTTGAAATCCAAACATCTTGATGAATTGTCTCCAAGAATTCAAAGAATTCACTTGCGTCTCATGAGACATGATTTTTCAATCACTTGTATTCCTGGAAAGCAGCTTCTAGTTCCTGATGCTCTTTCAAGAGCACCTCTCCCATTTTCAGACACTGGTGACCGTGAGTTTGAAGAAGAAACCCCAGCGTTTGTTTAAATGGTTTTGTTGTCCATCGATATAAACAACTGCATAGTTGCTAAATTATTGGAGGAACAAAATCAAGATCCAACTATATCGGAACTGAAGAAATAATTATCCAAGGTTGGCCTTCTAAGGCATCATTACGAGATGACCTAGCTAAAACCATATAATTCAATTAAGGATGAACTAAGTGTTGATAATGAGATGATACTACGAGGTTCAAGACTTGTAATTCCACCAGTTCTTCAGTCTTGGGCACTTCAAAGCCTACATGAAGGTCATTTTGGAATTACCAAGTGTCGTTTACGTGCAAAAGAGTCAGTCTGGTGGCCAGGAATCTCTTCAGCCATTGAAAGTATGGTGAAATCATGCTCTACTTGTATTAAACATTGAAGAAACAGCCATGAACCATTGCTTCCTACACCATTCCCTAACAGACCATGGAAAACTCTTGCAATAGATTTGTTCAAACTTGATGGCGTTTGGTTTTTAACTGTGACAGATTATTACTCCCAGATATTTTGAGACAGCTGAATTAGAGTCATTAACATAAAATGAAGTGATAATGAGATGCGAAGCCTTTTTCTGTCGACATGGCATTCCAGAAGAAGTTAGGTCTGACTTTGGGTCTCAATTTAAAGTCCTTGAACATTCAAATTTCCACCAAAATAATTACAAAGAAAAATGTGGAAGACCCTTATTTAGCGCTTAAAAACCCCTCATTTCCTAGGACACTAGCCTGGATCTGTTTAGCACATTACTTCGGGCTAGGCCTTTTAAACTACGCCTCTAGGGCTTTTCTTCTAGTTTCTTCCAATATCCAATATCCCCAATAGTTTGATCCCTGATACATGCCCGAAAGATGTCTCGACAAAGACGACTGAGGTTCTAACGTCGAGGCGGATGGGCTAAGTTGGCATGGAAAAAATTGCATGGTGATCACTTGCAGAGTAGTCTTCGGAGACTCGCCAGTCAGTAATCCGATTGGCTAGGTCTTCAGATGCCACGGGCGAAAGTGAAGACATTGCCCACGTTTAGGATATGAAGACCCAGCCTGGCTGCCATCTCTAAAACATCAGAGTGTCGGTTCTGATATTGCTCACTCAGAAGCAAAATATTAGCGCCTTGCTCGGTTGCGAATTTGTACAGCAAACCGTCAGCTGTCCTGTTCCTTTGCATGTTAAGCTGAAGGGCGATGATCATTTCTGGGTGGATCTTCTGTTGTGCTTGCTTATAAGCAGCACAATGGCTTAATCCTGTAGCGTGCTTGATGTCATTGTTCTTCAAGCTGGCCTTTGTGCACAGGACACAAGATTCAGCGGAGCTGCATACACTAGCCCTGTGATTCTGGCCGCCGCACTTATAGTGCAGTAAAAATAAGAGAAAAATTCCATAAACCTAAAAAAAATTAGCACAACCGGGGAATTTGGTACAGATGTTGGGTGTACCTTCCTTTTGAACATACTAAAAGTCCCCTAAAATTGAAGCTGTGCTACGGCCGCCATATTGGAAAATGGCGGCATATTTCTGTATTTTTCGCTATAGTGACTTTATTATTAGAGATACAGGAAAAAGCTAAATATACAAAATGTAGGTCATCTAAAAATACACATTTTTTGTATTTACCATCTTTCTCTAAACCCAACGGTTTTTGAGTTATTTGTTATTAAGTAAAGATAGTTTTTTCTATTTATCAAAAATAGGTGAAACACATGGAAATTGTCCGTTACTTTCAAGGATTATGATAATTTATCCTATTTAGTTAAATAGTGTGATACTATAAAATCTTAAAATTTAATCTTATTTTATGAGTAAAACAACTCTGCCACAGCAAACCTGCAGACTCAGCAAATTTCCTTTTGATTGGATGTTTTATTAATTGTATTTAAATAAAATCAGATTCAACAGGTACCTAGGTTTGCTGCTACAGGTAGGTTATTATAGTGTGTTTTTTTTAGTAAAATATCAATAACTTAGTATAAAATAATTAATTTTCCAAGTTTGATCATAATAAATCTATAAACAAACAAACTGCAACAGTTAACTAATTCATAATAATAGCATGGTAGCGTAAGATTTACAATTTACAAATTTAAATATACAAATTTTGGTTGTGTTTACTAAAAATATGGCGATTATTCGTCACGATTTGAATACTAACTGAAGGGGTTTTCAAAAGGAGATGAAGCAAGTAATTTAATTACTGTAATATTAACTCGTACCAAGTATCGGAAATATTGTATGGAGTGAGGAAATCAACCATATTTTGTAAACTACGCAATAGTCATATTAATATTTTATACTCATTTGTACCCATTTAATAAATTAACATTTTAATATTTTGATGACACTACCACTATCACTCTGATATCAACTAAGTGGGATGAATAATTGTCGTAAACCTTGAAAGTAACCGTCGATTGCGATGGGTTTCACCGATTTTTGATAAATAAAACTAACTATACCATGCTTAATTAGTCACCAACATGAACTAGACACGAAAAACACCCTTCCAAATTTACAATGGGATGTCAAGTATAGTTAGTTAGTGTGGTGGTGCCATAAAAATACTAAAATGTTAACTATTAAATGGATAAAAAATAAGATAAAATATTAATATGACTATTGCGTACTTTACAAAATATGGTAGATTACCTTACTGCATACAATATTTTCGGTGCTTGGTACGAATTAATATTACTTAAATAACAGGCTCCATCTTCTTTTGAAAACCCATTTGGTTAATATTCTAATCGTGACGAATAATCGCCATCTTTTTAGTAAACACAACCAAAATTTGTATATTCAAATTTGTTTATTGTAAATTTAAAACTCCCATGCTATTCTTATGAATTAGTTAACTGTTGCAGTTTGCTTGTTTATAGATATATTTTGGAAAATTAGTTATTTTATAGTAAGGTATTGATATTTAAAAAAAAACCACTATAATAACCTTCCTGTAGCAGCAAACCTAGGTACCTGTTGAACCTAATTTTATTTATATACATTTTTTAATAAAACATCCAATCAAATGGAAATTTGCTGAGTCTGCAGGTTTGCTGTGGCGGAGTTGTTTTACTCATAAAATAAGCTTAAATTTTTAGATTTTATAGTATCACACTATTTAACTAAATAGGATAAATTATCATAATCCTGGAAAGTAACGGTAAATTTCCATGTGTTTCGCCTTTTTTTTGATAAATAGAAAAAACTAAATATACTTAATAACAAATAACTCAAAAACCGTTGGGTTTAGAGAAAGATGGTAAATACAAAAAATGTGTATTTTTAGATGACCTACATTTTGTATATTTAGCTTTTTCCTGTATCTCTAATAATAAAGTCACTATAGCGAAAAATACAGAAATATGCCGCCATTTTCCAATATGGCGGCCGTAGCACAGCTTCAATTTTAGGGGACTTTTAGTATGTTCAAAAGGAAGGTACACCCAACATCTGTACCAAATTCCCCGGTTGTGCTAATTTTTTTTGGGTCAAAACATATTTTTACTGTACTATTATAGCACATATTGCTTCTGTCGGGACCTTTGCAGCGATTAGCTAGTGGGTTCCCCGAGAACAGACTTGACTGCAGTGGATACCTCTTCCTCAGTCGAGTACGTGAGTTTGTCGAGGTCTCTCACTTCCAATGTCGATTTTTGGCTCGAGAATTCATACCTAGGCACTTGCACCAAGGATGGATTGCAAATCGGCCCCGAATTTTGCCTTCGTCCCAGAGGAATGGCCAAGCTCTATAAGGAGACAACCAGCTCTGGTTTCTCTGAGTGATTTCATGACTGCTCCCTTCTCTTCAGGCTTCGTCTTTTGACGTATCTCACCAAGGACGTCAGCCAAAAGGACGTATGTCTTTCTGCTCATCGGCTAGATTAGAAGAGTGTCAGGGCATTGCTTAGAGGCTCTCTTTTTCTTGAGCTTTTTTGTCATCTCGTCACCAGGCTGGACAAAAGACTGCTGAGGATGGTTCTTCTGCTTGCCCTTCCGTTTCGCAACTGTCACCTACTCTCCTGGTTTGTTTCTGTCGGCCTTCATTTTCTTCTCGGTCACAGGCTCAGCTGGGCTTGCAGTTGAGGACTGAGACGTATGTTGTCGGGGTGAGGTCTGCGTCGACGAAGAGACGAGGGTCCTTTCACATGACTTCCAAGACTTGCGGAGGTGGAGGATGTGGTTAAGATAGGACTCCAGCTTGGTAATCCCAGTCTTAACGTCTTGGTTCAAGTTCCTCTGTCTGGGTGTGAAAGAATTGGCGTGAACAGGGGAGCGACTCAAACGTGAGCTCCTCCTGAATGGGTCCAAGTCCCCTTCAGGTGTTGTTTCTACCTCTTTTTTGTGTGTTAGGTTAGGGAACCCGAAATTATTTCTTGCACAATTGAAACGTTTTCTTTTTGCTTGTGTTCTGCCATTTTTTTTTTTCAATAAATATAAATAAACAAATTAGAGTACAAAATAACCTTTATGTACATCTTAAAATTAAATTACATGCTATTGTTTGATAATGAATAGGCCTAAGTACTGTTTTTCAATGATTTTTAAAATACTCTATTATTTTTAGGTCTTGGATATGAGTTACCATCTCTGGATATTGAAGAAGATCCTAATCCGATGTGGACACAACATTATTCAGCCAATTCTAATTCAAGTTTTGAACTGGACTTCCTTGGGGAAGGAGCTTCTGCTTTGATGGTCAATCCTAGTAGTGTAGTGCCATTTCTATGTAGTAGAAGACGATTGGAGGTCGAAGAGACAAAGAGTTCAGAAGCGGAAGAATATTCAAAAGTGTCACTTATAGATACCATATCTCAGGTTGGTCTAATTCTCTCTTTGTATAGGTTCAAGTGTTTTAAGAGAAGTAGCATAATTAATTAGTGAAACTTAGGAAGCGATAATGCAATTTAAATTGCATGCTGAATTTGATTGTCTCTTGTATAAACTTTACATTGTGTGATTTAATTGAGGTGTGAAAGTTATTGATCCTTTTTATTGTTTAAAAAATGTCTACCTGAGCGCTATTACTTAAAGCTAGAAAATAATACGCTTGCAGAGATATAGCTATCAATAAACAGAATTCTGGTTTGAAGGAGCTGAGTGTAGATGTTGGTACCAGTACAATTGTTGAGTTATATAAACTTACTAGAATAGTAACTACCTAGATGTTAATGTAATTGTAGAATTGTTGAGTTATATTATTTTTCTCACCAGCAAAGTGAGGTGAATTTACATATTTCCCTATCTCTTTCTCTGTAATTAAATTTTCACAGATTTGCACCTGTTTGCCTGAATTGACACTGTGTTATACAGGGTGATTCAAAAAAGACTTTACAACTTTGAAAATTCATATAAATCTTATTAAACAAGGTACAGAGCTGGTTTTATAGTGTTGTTTTAAAGGAAAACACTGCAAGTTTTTTTACCTTAAACTAAAGATGTTCTATGTGACTTAGGGCGTTTTTTGACGGTGAAGGAGTGTGATACACCCATTTCTAGATGTTCTAGGGAGTTGAAATTTCACACACTTGTAGTTCTTGGTAAAATAAAATAAAATAAAATTCAAAAAAGTCGCATTTTCAAATTTTAACCCTCCCAAAAATCCAAAATGGCGGACCTCTAAAAACGACAAAACACGTTTTTTTCAAACGGCTATAGCTTGAAAACGGTAAGAGCTATAAAAGATTTGAGGAAAAACGTAGGTTCGGAATTAAATTTCCAACTATGCGTTTATCAAAAATCGCACTCCTTCACCGTCAAAAAACGCCCTACTTTCAAAATTTTGTAAATTTCTCTCAAATTTTTAACGGGTTTCACTATTTTTTCATACCGTACCTAAATAATTATTTTCCCCAAATCCAACGGAAGTCACATAGAACATCTTTAGTTTAAGGTAAAAAAACTTGAAGTGTTTTCCTTTAAAACAAGGGTCGCCGGATTTCTACCCCCGGATATTTACCCCCATGAAAAAACGCCTACGTCATTTTGACGTCACGAGGGGCGGGGCCTATACACGGTCGAGAAACAGCCCGCGACTGGAAATCTACCCCCGGAAATCTACCCCCGGAAATCTACCCCCAGACATCTACCCCCGGACATCTACCCCCGGAAATCTACCCCCAGACATCTACCCCCCGTGGTCAGCTCTGTCACGTATCGGCCAATATTCATTGTTGTAATTGATTTTATTGACTGTTTTATGTAAATCAACGGCTCTTCGGTTAGTAATTGCCATCTAATATCTAGTATTACGCATGTGACATGTCATTGTTTTGTTTAACATTATCTATCTTCCTAATGAAATAGGCTGTAACAGCCCTTTTTCACCCGAACTACTTCACCGATTTTTATGATCGAGGTGTAATTTTAAATCTTAAAATCTAGCGCAACGCAAAATGGTAATTAAAACAATATTTTGATAAAGGGCTTCAAAAGTTTGTCCCTTAAGCATTTGATTTATTTCTAGAGAGTGATTTAAATGTTTGGCCAACTTTCACACCCAGTAAAACCTAACGGCGCATGCACGAGCGCAGATCGTGAAATTTAATACATATCATTGAAGGAGGTTATTTACTGATTACTAGAGGTAAAAATACAGTGCAATTAAATGTTGATAAAAACCTGCCACTGGTTGACCAATAAATTAATTAATTACTTGGTGAAACCCATCAAAATCGACGGTTGCTTTAAAGGCTTACGATAATTCTTTTAACTGTGACACAGTGAAATTATAAAAAAACGTGAGTATTTAGCATTGTTTAATGAGTAATAAATAAGTGTAGAAACAATAATGACTATTGCGTTAGTTACAAAATATGGTTTATCATTCAATGAATAACATATTTCTTATACCGTCAGTCATAGGTGTTATTGTGTTTGGATGTGTTGGATGTATGTGTCTTAGTAGACAGGATAAGAGCACAATGAACTTCTTCTGTAGATAAATAATTCGTTGGCTAAGAAAAATATAAGCCGGATTAATAAATGTCTCAATCCAAGCGCATTAAAATAGCCCTGGTCTGAACCTTTTTTGTAGTATGTAGTTAGTTTAATAACATTCAAAGGCTCTATTGTGTTTTCACTAAGCTGAATGAATACATCAAAGTAACATCTCTAACAAGTCTGCAATAAATTGCAATTTGGCAGATTAATGACTGATTTCTTCATACAAATTATTACAAATTTAATCCATTTGCTGTAAACCACTATTAATTTAAAAATATATACACGGCTCATATGGGCAACGTGCCCTTCTGCACTTTAATTATTTTGTATTGTATTACACAATCGAAATCTTTTCCAATAATTGAAAACATGTATGAAAATAATCTTATGAACCTATCTTAGATATGACAAAATATTAGCAAAAGTGGTAAAAAATGCAGACACCAAGCCGTACAATAGATATAAGATAGTTCAATAAGTAATAATTTTAATAGTTACTGTATGTAATATTTTCCAATGATTTCGTAAAGGAACGTTATACTGTATTGCAGAACATGAGATGATGCAGAAAAATAGTTATTTGTGTAACTAGTGGTGAAAGTGGCACTTTGCTGCACACGAGAGCAAATAGAGTGCAGCAAAGGCCTTTTTCACTCGTGTTACACATTATATTTTTCCTACAGTCACTATAAAGCATATAAATAATTAGTCTTTCAAACACTATACAACACGTTTTTAGGTTCAGCTGGCTACACAAATGGTGCCCTAGAGAAAGTAGTACCCGCGGTCCGTATCACTCCGCTATTTTTTCCTCGGCAAGAAATAATGTGCTCCGCGTTTTGAGAATATAGTTCCGTATGTTTTTGTAATTTGAAGTGGTTTCCGCGCCTAAAAAAAAGTTTTAAAGGTATTTTCTTGTTTATTAAGATCGTAGGAATGTTTTAAAAACGTATAAAAGTAAAGTCCAGAAATACCGAAACTATAAACACGAAATGACAGGTTAAATTGTAGTTATAATAGTCAAACAGCTGCTCATAGTATTATTATCTTTAAGTGTTGCCAACCTATTTCCAAGCGTACACGGATTACGTGCATAATATAACCACGCTGTTTTGTGTTGTTTCGTTGGAATCCTGATGTGCGACAAAGTATAAACCGTACGACAAAGTATAAACCGTACGGCAAAGTATAAATATGCAGCAATTAGTAGCTTTCTGTACTATAAACAGTACAAGGAAGCCAAATGTGTCGGGTGACTGTAGGAAAAATACATTTTTAAATAAGAAAACTACATTGTAAATACTTCTTTTTGACAAACTCAGTAACTCTCTATGTGTTGTTTAAAATACAATTTTAATGTTAACAGCTGTTTCATTGAAAAATTATCCATATGACGATAATGTAAACAAATCTGGGAAAGGAACTTTTAAAGGTTTGCTTATGGGCCAATCTTTTGAAGCCCTTTATCAAAATATCGTTTTAATTACCATTTTGCGTTGCGCTAGATCTTAAGATTTAAAATTACACCTCGATCATAAAAATCGGTGAAGTAGTTCGGGTGAAAAAGGGCTGTTACAGCCTATTTCATTAGGAAGATAGATAATGTTAAACAAGACAATGACATGTCACATGCGTAATAATAGATATTAGATGACTATTACTAACCGAAAAAGCCGTTGATTTACATAAAACAGTCAATAAAATCAATTACAACAATGAATATTGGCCGATACGTGACAGAGCTGACCACGGGGGGTAGATGTCTGGGGGTAGATTTCCGGGGGTAGATGTCCGGGGGTAGATGTCTGGGGGTAGATGTCCGGGGGTAGATGTCCGGGGGTAGATTTCCAGTCGCGGGCAGTTTCTCGACCGTGTATAGGCCCCGCCCCTCGTGACGTCAAAATGACGTAGGCGTTTTTTCATGGGGGTAAATATCCGGGGGTAGAAATCCGCTACCCCTAAAACAACACCAAAACCAGCTCTGTACCTAAGATTTATATGAATTTTAAAAGTTGTAATGTCCTTTTTGAATCACCCTGTATATAGTTAGAAACTAACTAGCCTATTACTGGTAACATATTGATTTCTCTAGCAAGCTACCAATGTATTTATATTTATTTTTTATTTATTTACAGAATGCCATTGCATTAAAAATGACAGGACATTTGTTAATTGCATTATAATACTTAAAGCTAAATAGTAATATTCAAATTAAAACAAAATAATTATAATACTTAAAATCCTACCAATTTCCACTTAAAAATTCATTTAAAGAAGAAAATGTTTTGGTTAGCAACAAGTCTTCACATTCTTTTTTTTTAATTTGTTCAGATTGGTGATGTTTTTTTTATATTATAAGGAACTAAGTTGTAAAATTTTGGTCCAATATATTGACGTAATGCTTCAAATAGTGATAATCTATGGCTAGTGGGCTTAATTAGGTTCTTATGTCTAGTGTTATACCTATGGTTTGTGTGACTCTCCCTGAAAATGGACAAATTGTTGAATACCCAAAATAATGCTTCTAAAACATATAGGTTGTAAAATGTTAAAACTTGAAAAGCATGAAAGATGGCTTTACATGGACTTCTTCTTCAGGGTACTTAAGCAATAATTCTAAGTGCCTTCTTTTGAAGCCTAAAAATCTTTTTACCACGGCAAGAATTTCCCCACACAAGAATTCGGTATGACATTAAAGATGAAAAATATGAGTGATCAACTGATAATTGGGTTTTAGTGTCAGTGACTTGAGAAATTGTTCTGAGAGAAAAAATGACTGAAGAAAGTTGTTTTCAGAATTTGTTAATGTGAGGAAGCCAGTGAAGATTTTTGTTTATATGTATACCCAAAAAATTGACTGTCTCCTCGGACATTAACTGAGAATTTGGAAAAGTGATTTGTTTTAAACAATTTCTATGATCTGATCGAAAATTAACTACTTGAGTCTTGTCCATGTTCAAGGAGAGCCCATTTATCCCAAACCAGCCACTTAGAGCGGCCAATTCTGTAACTACTGTGTGCTGAAGGGATTCAACATTGGGTCCCTTACATTACATAACATCATTGTGTCATCTGCAAACTAAAAGACATCCATCTTTGACACGTTTGGTAGGTCATTAAATAAAGAATAAACAAATAAGAATTAAATAAATAAGAAACATACAGGGGCCCAATATTGATCCCTGAGGCACACCTACTTCAACTTTTTCCCAATTAGAATATACAGTATGTCCATATTTGATCATTTTAGTCCTCATTGTAGAGGTAATCTATAGGCCTACATTAAGCCCTAATCATTTTGCATATAGGCCTAAGTGGCTTCTGGTGTGTACAAGAAAGTTTGTGTGTTGTTTCAATCATTCTCTGTTGGTTCAATCCATGCCATCATGTCCGTTTTATCTGTTCAGGCGTTTTACCTGTTGTACAAAATGAAAGATATGTTCTGTTTGTCAAAAAAGTTTTAAAGAAAATCTGCAAGTATAATTTTGATAAGTCGATGGCTCAGATGGTAGTGTCACGGGCATCAGGCCCAAGGCAGCAATGTTGTGGGTTTTTTGGAATCCTGGTACTTGCCATTACATTTGGTCAGTACAGTTTGCCCTTGCAGTATACCATCTCACCATTTGTTTTGGTGGCGATTCGTCCCAAGCACAGGCCCGAGGCATATGTGAGCTGGCAAATACTAGGTTAAAAGAGGCTGCTAACATCTCATTAAAAAAATCACAAGACATTTAAACAATAATAAGTTTTATCACACAGTTTATTTTGAATTAGGCCCAACAATCAGTATTAAGTTAGTAGTTGAATGTTTATATTGAATGGCAATTTTCTAAGACTTATTGAAAAATGTCTTTCAGGTAAGTGTCAAAAAAGAGTCTGTAAAAGTGGAGGAAAAAGAAAATGATACAAAAGCAACAGTTATAAAAGTGGAAGAGTTTCTTGAAGAGGATGAAACCGTTGCAACTTCAGAACAGCCACAGGACATTCTATCGATGCCTATTGAGTTTGTTAATGTAGCGATGGAGAACAGTGCTATTAAGGTGAGTTAATTTTATCCAACTGAATAATATTTTAGTCTTACCATTGACTATTGGATACTGAAGTTGTATTTATAGTCAAAGGTCTTGCATTAAAAATAAAGGTTAATATAAACTTACAGCATACTTTAGATAGTCAGTTACTGGTATTTATGTATTTCTATCTATCTAGTAAGAATTAAATATTTGATAAAATTATACAATTTAACAATTGGAGATATTTCACAATTCTGATTTCCCCTTTTGGAATCATCAGTAGGCCTATCTTTGTTAAAGTTCATCATTAGTATTTTCCGGAGTGTAATGTTCTTACTTTTTACTGTATTTCTATGAGAGTGCTAGTTAAAACGTTTTGAAATCGTTGGCCTTAATATTTATTTATCAAGTCTGTGATAACCGATAATATTTTTGTTTGCAGGTTTTAACTCCATCAAAAAAGACTTCTCAAAAGCGCCAAGTGATGCCTTGCGTTGCCGATGGAAGTAACAAACCCTACCCCAAACCTGCCTACTCGTACTCATGTCTAATAGCAATGGCGTTGAAGAATTCACAATCAGGATGTCTTCCAGTTTCAGAAATATACAGCTTTATGTGGTAAGTATTGTTTTATCATGCAAAACTTCAATTTTGAATGAGTGGTGAGTATGAGTAATGTTTAGAAGTAGTCGAGATGTATCGTGCAGCTTTGCTACTGGCTAAGACTAGCTGGTCCATTAGCCAGAATCATTAATTGTAAATTATCGGTCAAACACTTAGTTGTCAACATTTTTTGTCTTCTTAGCCGAGTTCATTCATTAATAAAGGTAACATGCTACCTTTAAAGTAGTAATTAAAAAATGCTGGCACGGCTTGTCAAGGAAACCAGCTTGACATTTTCTATAAGAAATCAGTGGAGTGTTAAAATTAGGTTACTATCACCTCCTAAGTTATGTTCTTACGAGTTGGTTGTGCATTATGTGGCTGGCCAACTAATGCATGTTTTTACAACATTAGCTACGAGTTCATAGGCCTAACAGAATAGAAAATGTTATGCAGTAAAGTATATTTTTTACAGTATCTTTTTTTAGACTACAACTGTTTATACAAATGGTTGTACACGGTTTTCCTAGTTAACTTGCCCGAACTTCCTTTTTACTAGCCGATCATGTTTTTTTATTAAGGTTGTGGGGTGGGGAGTAGTATAACACCAACAATACAAATCAATCGGAACCACTCCACAAGCGTTTAGTCAACAATTTGGATGGCTGGATTTTTTATGGAATTCAGGATATTTGATAGAAAATAGTCAGAGACAAGCCAACATTTCACTATCACCATCGCAGGAAGATTTTACATTTGAAAATCTTACTTTCCTTGTGATAGCAGATGATAATTTTGGTGATTTCTGTGAACACAGGAGGCGATGGAGGTGTGTACTTGACCGCAGTAAAACTTTCAGGATTTAGCCACGATCACGGATTATGCTTTCAACAATTAGGCCTACTATAGTTTTAGGGTTTAAAAATTCTTTCTTTTTAAGTAATTCAGTGGAGTTTGGATAGTTGGAGTTCCATTGTATGTCAATTACCTGAATATACGCATTTGGTTCTTCCGTATTTACATCTTGATCTTGTTTTACAGCCATCACTTTCCTTATTTCAAAACTGCACCAAATGGATGGAAAAACTCTGTGCGTCATAATCTTTCGCTAAACAAGTGTTTTGAGAAGATCGAGAAGCCACCTAGCTCAGGGAATAATGGCTCTCAAAGAAAAGGATGCTTATGGGCTATGAATCCTGCTAAAATCTCAAAAATGGACGAAGAAGTTGCCAAATGGTCAAGAAAGGATCCATCTGCAATTAAAAAAGCAATGGTTTACCCAGGTAATTGAATTGTTTTAATTTGCTGATATTAAAGTCGAGTCTGTTTTTGAATAGGTAAGTCTAGGCTACTTATAATTCCCCCTCCCCACCCAAACAAATCGACAAATAATAAAACAAGTACAAAAAGCTTGACCATTTCATGAATGTTTCCCCAATAATAGATAAACAAATTAAGACTTCTTCAAGTCTCTGGAACTAAGATTCCTAGCAGAGAACGAGGATGTTTTTAATGCAAATGTTTAAAACTATTTAATTTTCAGATAATCTAGAGCTTCTTGAAAGAGGAGAACTGAAAGACGAAGCTGCTTTTGACAGTGAAGAAGTTGAAGAGGACACTGAAGAAGTAAGCCACTTGAGACCATTGTGCATGCATATTGCATATAAAAACAATATTTTCAATAATGCAGTAGCTATAAATTAAATTTAAGATTTTTGAAATCTGATTAAGTTAATACAAGAGGTAAATCTATGAACCAAGCAACAAATCAGAAATACTACTCTCATGACTGCAAGGATCTTTATAAAGAATGTGTAATCTTATAGTTTATACATCCGTTGATTCATCTTCTAGTAATATTTTATATATCCAGGTTAGAGAAGAAGAGGCAGAGGAAGATTTTGGAGTTGATGCTGAGGATGAAAGGATATCTCCTATAGATGATGATAGTGATGATGAAATATCAAGTGTTCCTCCCTCCCTCCAGCCATTTGAGCCTAAATTTGCTTTACTCAACCAAAGAAAACTCACAGCAAAGACAATCAATCAAGATCAATCAGAAGAACCGGCGGAAATAAGCGTCAACATGGACTTTGAGGTAGGTACCAAACCGTCGTGGGATTAAAAATCTTGTTTTGTAAAGGAAGTATGAAACACATTTGTCTCACTTTGTTATGGTGATTTCTCTGTTTTACGATGGTTTTATAAACGTAAACTGTGGCCTTTTGTGGAACATTTTCTCATTATGAACAAGTAAAAACTAAATAAACTAAAATGTTCATCAGAATACAGTATTGCTAACATTCACCTAGTGAGTTTAGCCATTTCTTAACTCAGTGTAATTGACTCAGATCATAGTGTTGTTTAGTGTTCACTGTCTTCCAAACAATTTGACACCTTATGTTATGTTACAGATCAGTGAAGACGTATATGATGAGTTGGAAGTGTCGGACACCAAAGCACTTTTGGGCTTTGACGACTCTATACCGATCTACGCAGTCGACCCCACTGATGAGAACGTACTGATAGAACTGCCGATGGTGAAGAGACCGCGAGTGCAGGCCAATTACATCTGTCAACCAGTGCTCAACATGAAGAGGCACAATATCAGTGGGTTTAGATCTATTAAAATACAAAGTCCCTGAGTCATGTAACATTTCTTGTACAAAGACTGATCACTTTGAAACTTCTAAGTCAATTATCGTCAGTGGTAACTAGCTGCAGGTTCTGGTTTTTTTTGTACAAAATGTACATAACTGTGTAGCATTAGGTAATTTTTAAGATCCTTAAGAATAGTGTTATTGTGATATTACTTGTGTGATAGTAATGTACAAGATGACATAACTTGTAAGAAATTTGTGTTCACTAAAAAAGTATTATTCAGGCCTGCACACTTAAAACATAGCCTCCTACTCTATTTTTAATAATTTAATAATTATTGTTAATTTTTTTTATTCAACTTCGTAAACTAAATGTTTACCTTCTGAACTATCTATATTTGCTTTACATTTACTTTTTAATTTATGAATTTGAGAGGATCAAGTTTTAAATAATTTTTTACACATAGATATTAGAGAATAATCCATGAACATGTTATTTTAAGTATTATTAAACTGAAAACTTCCAATAGTTAGGAACTGGATTGAGATGATTTTTGTGCAGTTAATGTGTAATTAATCACCAGGCAGATTTAGATTTGTTTTAAACCACTAAGTAAAGCAATGTTACACCTAAAAATAGTAGAAAAAATCTGATTAGCTACTAGATTTATAAGCAATGAAACAATTAAAAAGGTATGTTGGAACATGGAGTAACCAAGATTGGTAAAACAGCTTCTTTATAAATTCTTTAAAAAAATGTATGTTGATACAATAGTTCTAATAATCCGAACCATCTTTTGGGGAGAAAAGCTTACTGTGTTAGGATTGAAACAAAGCTATGTGCGTTGAAATTCAAACCAAGCTATGTGTTCTGCAATTCAAACCAATGTGTCCAGCCAACCAGTAAACCGAGAAAACTATCGATTGTACATGAATTCTGTATAGCACCGAAAATTTGAAATAATCGCCAACCATCACCAGTGTTTTTTGGATCTCTTAAAATCATCGTTGAGTAAGAAGATTGTGATTACGAGAAATGATCATGGTGTTTTGTGACTGCGGAAGACAATGACAGTGTTTTTGTGATCAGAAGCAATTTATGGCCATTTACACCGTATAAAAATACAGTGATTCTATTTTTTAATTCACTTTTGCTGCATTTGGACTAATGGTACTGCGAACATGGTCTTGTCTTAATTAGTTCAGATCATTGCACCTATTAAAAATAATTAACGATTTTCTAGAGATTCTTGTCTTCCCCTTTAAAAAATTTTGTCATTTAGATTTTCAAAATTTACATGGGTCATAGAAGACAACTTTGCACTTAATTGTTTACTTACACTTCAATACATGCTAGTTGATGAAGTCAGTAATACTTTGCATTTAGTGTCCGGACTGGTGCGATGGCATCGCTTTAGTTGTGTGTAAGTTTTGTGAAATTTCAAATTTGAATGAATCCTCCGAGAGGAAGACAAGAAACCAAGGAGAATCGTTGAGAATTTCTTCTTTGTCATTGAAGTTAAGAGCAAACAAAATTATTTACTATTAATTGGTGTCAGTAATTTGCTCCTTGACTAGAAGGAAAATGTAGTTTTATTATGGGGATGTTCTAAAACCGACTGATACTCATGCCTTAGAGAAAAACTTCCCTAGCCAGTCCATAACTAACTGGCTTCTTACCTGTGTCATTGTAAACGTTCACTTGAACTGATGGTATAAGTAACTTTAATTCCATTGACCAAACTGAGGGGGTGGGGTGTAAGGCAAGTGTATACTAGAGACAATTAGTGATTGTAAAAAAAGACTATAGACTTGGATTTTCTTCGATGTAGAAAACTAAAAATGTTGAAACAATAACTTTCCTATTAAAAAAATCCCAAATATTCAGTATTGGTTACCTTTAAAAGAACATCGACTTTCATTGTAGCAAAGAAATTGAGAGACTTTAAAGGCTAGTCATTTTCAGCTTTAATGTTTTAGCCTTTATTTTGTATTGAGTACTTACAATTAACTGTATATTTGCCATTTGCTAATAATAAATTAACAAGCTATATACTTAAGTTTTCTTCGATATTGTGTTAAAAGTATCTTTGCCAAATAACTACTTTCCTTAAAAAATAAAAATACATTTTTCAATCCCCTAAAGCCTGTTATATGTATGTATGCACATATAATTTAACATAGCATTTCTATATACACACTTTTTTTAAACTCTGTCCTATGCTATTTGAGTGAAAATGTCAATCCTGACAGCTAGGTTAGTCCTATTAAATGTTTAACGTAAGATACTGAATCAATAGGCCGTATCAACATAAAAATACTGCAGACTGTAAAATCAGGTTTAGATAGGTCAAATGCGTTTCTCAGGATTTTCTTTAACTTTGTTGTGTGTTTGAAAGTTTAGCTAGGTTGTGTGGTGAAAAATAAGTAATTGTCCATTACTATTAGACGAGTGAAAAACAAGATTTCACATTTCACCACCTTTGAGAGGAGTATACAAGTGTATGTAATCTAAATGCCCAAGCAAACAAATCTTAAAATTAATAAGATGTGCCAGAACCAGAATGATAGTTAATTGTTGTGTTTTGTAAAAACATGTGAAGAGGATGTCGTAACTTTCTGTACTCTTATTTAAAGTCCCATAAAGGAAAACTGTCTCAAATCATGTGCAATAAGTTGATGTTTTAATCTCTTTACTTTTCTTTGATATAATCAAATTTTCAGTAACTTTATACAAAATTGTAAGTAGCCTATAAACATAAGTTATGATTTAGTTTATTCGGTTTTGTTCAAACAATCGATTATTATGAATTGTAAGATGTTTTAGAAACATCAAGCAATAACAATAGTTTATATCTGGGTGTTTTTTATTTGTCCATTCATATATTAAGTATTTTAATTTTAATTAACCTGTCATTTACTGAAAGTAAAACAAGTGTTAATTCTTTGATCGAGGTGCATTTCCTTCTTTTTAATGTTTGTAAATGAGTGTTGTGAAAGATTTGTAAGTGTATGGTTTTACACATATTGGGAAAATGTGGTCAAGTACAAAACTATTATTAAGTTCACCTCAACTGAAATGTAAATACTGAAATTTGTACTAATAAATTTTGTACTGTTCTATAAATTCTAATTTCTTATTACTTCCTTCCATTTTTATTAGAATTTTTCTCAAAGGGAGGACTTAAAGAAGAAAATAATGTGGTTATGTGGAAAATAATAACTGTTACACCTAGCCACCCATTAACAAACTGCTTTCACTTCTTTCTTCTGATTGTAGAGGCGAAATATAGCGGTTCCTGTTCCCTGGTCTAGGTCTTACTATGAGAACTACGTATCAGCTTATTCCCCATACAGAAAATCTGCTAAAAACTAAATTTTGAGCGGTTTTTAACATAATAGGTTCATTTACTAAATAAAGCAATTAAATACAGAAAATACAGATTTTAAATTTTTATTTTAAAATAATTCATCAGAAGCACTCACTGTATACTGCTGATAGTATTTCATTACTAGGACCGAAAGCGGCATTATCCGGCGCACGCTCAAGTTTCATGTGTTTGGCTTTGCCTCACACAGGAAAACCAAATGTCATGTGTGAGGCGAAGCCAAGCATGTGAGAGTCATTTGCATGTACGAGTAAAATCTAAGGATACTTTTTAATTTTATCACAATGTAAAAAAAAACGTTATCAGCATTCTGAGTCTGACACATACTTTCTCCCATAAGCTTATCAACAACCTTTATCATGGGTAAGCAATAAGAGTAAATATGATATTTTATAGTAAAAAAACACAAAAGTTGCAATAACTTTTGAGCCATAATTGTTACAGCAATGGGGTGTTGTACTATTTTTTATAATTATAAGGACCATACCATATTAATTTTAATCAAAGCCAGCTTTTCCCCGAAAATCAGATTTTTTTGTTATTTTATGGTTTTTTTATGGGAAAATAACATAATTTACAATAACTTGTGAACCGTAATTTTTACGAAAATAGGATTTTTACCATTCTGTTCAGATTTTAAAGGACTAAGTATAACATACTAAATTTATATCAAAATCGTTCTGGCCATTTTTGAGAAAATCTTATTTTTCCATTATTTTATGGGGTTTTATGGGAAAATCCCCATTAAAAATCAAAATTTCTAAAAAGTGAAAAAAACTTTCAAAATTTTAAGGACCATAACATACAAAGTTGAATCAAAACCGGCTTTTTTCCTAAAATCCAATTTTTTGTTATTTTATGGGGGTTTTTATGGGAAAATAACATAGTTTACAATAACTTTTGAACCGTAATTTTTACAGACAATGGGATTCGTGTAGTTTTGTTCAGAATTTAAAGGGCTTCAACATACAAAATTTTTGAACCATTTTTGAGAAAATTCAATTTTTCCATTATTTTATGGAAAAATTCCCATTAAAAATTTCAATTTCAAAAAAATGAAAAAAACACCTGGAGATACCATGGATTAGTACCTACATACCAAATTTCACCAAAATCGGACTACAGGTGTGGTCTGTAGCTCTGTACACACCCAGACATCACTTAAAAAACCACTTTTTTGGGTTCAGGGGGACCCAAAACGGATATATCCACTCGAAAATTTTGACGAAACAATATTTTCTCCATACTCTATGCGTAGGGGGAGAAAGTAAAAAACACATTAATAATAAATTCAAATTTTAAATCAATTAAAGTTTTAAAATATCAAAATAAAAGAAAATTTTCCAAAGAGACAATATAGGCCTACAATAAAACTTAAAACCAGAAGTTCAAGGTTATGTTTACTAAAACGCGTTTTCATTGTTGGTGACAAGCACTCCTTTTATAACTTGTATGATGCTTTGAATTGAAACACACACATGTTTTAGTTTTAGACCATTCTTTATCATGAAAAATCAACAAACGTATATGGTTTCATAATTATAGATTATATCAGATAAATATATTAATACATACTTCTTCACTTACTTTATTTGGTTTGCCATTTTACACTTTGTAGCAGTCCTAATCTTTCTGTATTCCTCTTCATATATTTCCCATGATTTCTCTGGTGAAAGTGGTTTAGTTATCTCTAAAGCTTTTTTTCATCAAATCATCAGGAATAGAGCAATTTCTAACACATACTATGCTAAAAACACATCAAAACAAACTACTGTAATTTCTGTTTCTGTGTACATTTAGATTGTGCAACAATGAAAACAACTGATTTAAATTATTAAATTAAACAGTAACAAAACACTAGCACATAGTGGGTAAACGGAGAACTAATCGAGTGTGAGGGTAAGTACATTTAGACAGAGGGAAAATCAGCTGATAGGGGCGGGTTTTCCGAACATGTGGGATTTCCAGCACAGTAACCTGTTTTGTACAGTAGTCGCAGCTAGTTTGGGCGCGCGGCCACACTATGGCGGGGGGTGTAAGGGGGAGTGTTTATTGCTCATTTCCAAAAACATCTAGCCTACACGGCTCTCTGGGGTTGGTCAGCGCCTCAGCGCTGTCGTCATGGCTTTGGCGTGAGGGACGGTTAGCAAATCGCACACCCGACTAACTGCACTATGAGACCATGCCTCAAATCACTGCTTATGCTTCTTTTGCAAATAGTCTGGCCAGGCTGTCCTGGTAATGAGATTCTGTGAAGAATAATGGATATTCATTGAGTGCAGACATCTGTCATAGGCAATAGGCCTAACTCCCATTTGCAATTGACATGGGGCATGGTCCTACTTGTGTAGTCCACAAAAAATCTTGCACACACCTATACGCTGCACTGCATTCTACTAACAGTGCCGATCTTCTCTTGTTGCAAATTTTTTTCTAACAATTAACTTTTTGCCCAAGCAAAATTTATTTAAGTGAAAATTTTGTTGAGCGTTAATAATAGTTGTAGCCGAAGAAGATATTCATGATTTTTCTGCAATCGTGTAACAAAGATTACTTAGTTTACGTGACCCCGGGAGATGAACATGATGTCTACAAGGCCGAAGAAACATCCATGATTTAGGCACTATAAGTGACTTTTTCCGTGATCTTGGGAGACTTAGATGATGTCAAGAGCGAAGAAGACGTTCATGATTTTGCCGCAATCGCAGAAAAATATGTCACCATTTCCGTGACCGCGGGGGTTGAACATGTTATCTACAAGACCGGATAAGATATCCAAAATTTTCACTATTGAAAACAATGCCGAGTTTCCATGACCAAAAAACGGCTCCGATAGTTTTTAACTTTGCTGCAATCACGGCTTTTGCTGATATAAACAAATAAAACATAAGTGGTGATGTTTTTTTTTTTTTTGGGGGGGGGGACAAGAGGTACTCGATGTACTTACGCTACTGGCTAGAAGTATAAAGCTAGCATTTATCCCAATTGTTGTCATATAAACAAACAACATTATTGCACAACGGGTAATAGAAATAGGTAGTGTACACTTGTCTATGAGCATAGATCAAACACATAGTTCGTTAGTAGATTTCCCATCCTTATGGAACAGCTGAAGCCAATTTTATTGTTAGTTCTGACCGGTTTTCTGCAGATGTCGTGTTTTGTTTACAATTTGTTTCTCACTGTTTGGTTATATAGCTAGTGGACGAGTTATTGTTAATGATTAGATAGTTTTATTTGGTTAAACGAGGTTTTAAATTACTGAAATAACAAGAAACAAATTGTAAACAAAACACGACATCTACAGAAAACCGGACAGAACTAACAATAAAATTGGCTTCAGCTGTTCTATAAGAAGGATGGGAAATCTACTAAGGGACTATGTTTTATCTATGGTATGAGAGAATGAAAAGTATGGACGATTTTGTCCATAATCTGGTGAAGGATTACTGTTTGGTATACCTTATAAAGAACAAATCCCCTTTCAATTTAATTTCAAACAATTTTTATTTTCTAAGTACAATTTACAAATATACATTTAACAGTACTCATCAGCATATGCTTGTTGTGAAAGGCTTAAACACTTTATTTTCTTATCCATCCTATTAATGACAAAGGTACAGTAACATACAAAGACAAATTAAATTAAATAGAACTAAAAATATTTAAGTAGCAAAAATGGTTTAGTATTCAAGGTAAAATGAATTCTTTTACAAAAACAAAATGTTTTTGAGAAAATATTGTTTTAATAGTATTTCATGCAAGGGTCATGTAAAGATAGTGTTAATGACAAGAGTAGACATTTAAGGCAAGAGCCTTGGCGAGTGCCTTAAAAACCTAGCTACGAGTGTCGTTAAGACTATTTACATGAGTTGCATACACTACTTTACCTACGACAGTTTTTTTATTACTAACAATCATAACTCATAACTTCTAATAGAGGTTATGTTTTTGTTTACAACCTCTCATTGCAACTGACAGTGATGCAATGAATCATTGTACCAAACACTATTTGTGCCACTTATTAGTTTAAATTGGTCTAAACAGCTGATTAGTTTATGTTGAAGCATACAATTATACTTCTTCTCCCTCGATCATTGAACCTCATTGGTCCGTAGTGTATTGTTAATTCAAACAACAATGCTTGCTGTTAAGTGAAGCTTTTCAATTCTAAGTTTGGAACTGAAACGGCTAGTTTAAAAAAAAATTGGCGTAGGTAAAATACCTTATCGGTAGCTAATACTTTAGTGTTAAAAGTGTATTTATCCAATAAATACAGAGGATCTGTGATAGTACAAACTTCAAGGGATCAGTTACACAATATGAACTAACCTATCCAAAAACTCAATTAAGAAAAGTTTGGTGACAAGGGTTTGTAAATTGAAAAGTCGCACTTTGAGTGCAAAATTGTACTGAGAACACAATATGTACGAATTTTATATGAGGGTTTATTATATCTCTACCATTACTTTTTTTAATGAGAGTCAAAGATTTGTAGATTGGATTAGGTTTGATCACGACACCACTGCTTGATTTTACAAGCGTAATCAATGTCTAATCTGACAACAAAAATTTAAGGTGAAAAATGACAATATCAGACATACAATATGAGATTCAGTATGAACGATCGACTGATGTACAAAACAAGGATGACAGGGAGAGAGCAGGCCAGGGAGTCGACCGGTCAACAGTCATGGACAGTGTTAGGCAGTATTG